ATTTCTTCTTATTTATTTGAAGACGAGCAGTCTTCTCTGGACTGCAGTCTGTTTCTTGTTCTTTCTTTCAATAGTTTATTTTAAATTAATGTCCGCGAGTGTTTGCAATTCTCGCGAGAGTCTCCCAGCAGCCGTTTCCGTGGAAACCAATTCACGCACCCGCACTCTGTGTTTTAGCTGGATATTTCTTTGATGTTTAAATGTGGTTTTAAATACTTAGTTTCACAATGAGTAATGATTACTACGAGACTTTGGAAATAAATAGAAACGCAACAGATGCAGACATCAAAAAGGCGTAAGTCGTTTAATACATATGAAACTCACATGCTTAATAATGAGGCTTGTTCTGTTATTCCTCAGTTATTTCTTTCTCTTTCTTAGATATCGACGCCTTGCACTGAAGTTTCATCCGAAAAGAAACAGAGAGCCTGGAAGCTCCCAGAAATTTACCCAGTTGGGTGAAGCCTATGATGTTTTAAGCGACCGTAAGTGGAAGAATATCGAGACTGAAGTGTGTTTTATTTTGGAAACCGCACGGATAAAAACAATAAGGGGACACTCGATGATCACAGTCTAAGGAAAAGTCAGTTAATCGTACTGAATCCATTTCAGCTGCTTTGGTGCAAATGAAAGTGGTCGTTCCTTATCCCTCGTGATTCAGTTCATTCTAGCTTTGCTTTTTGTGACTTTACTTTTCAATTCTGGTGGAATGACATGGTACCTGCAGCCTATTCACGTTGCAAAGATAGTCAGTGCACAGCTGCTCCAGGACTGCAAATCAGGAAGAGCCGATGTAAGAAGGTGTATCTGTCAGCAGTGTCAAGAGTGTGGAGCTGCTAAGAGCTGGGCAGTTAGGGGCATCACCACAGCATCAGTACCCATGTCTGTTCCTTTGTATAAAAAGGGACAGGAGGAACATTTCCAGTGCTCTCGAAAATTACCTCAAGAAGGCAACAGATGTGTCTGTTTCTTGGCAAACTCTTTTATCACCTGCCTAACAGCACGTGGAGGTCTGTGGAACCCTCCAAATCTGTCATGCGGAAGGATCAGGCAGACAGCCTAACATTCACCAGTGTCTCAAGACCCTTTCATGTGTGTCACATGTCCTCACTGCTTGTGTGTGTCTCTCCTGTGTGAAGAGAACTGAGCTCGACTACCTGTGCAACCTGCATGGGCTGCATGTATGTCTCACTGACAAACAGCAAAAACAGTCAGGTTTTTGGGTGGGGTTGTCTCGTTGATGCCTCTCCAGCGTTACTTTCATTTGAACCAAAGTAAGCGAAACGGATTCAGACGGGTTCATGTTTCCCAACTGAACAGACTGATATCTCTGAAGTTTAACTGATATACTGTGATGATCTATTATTATTCTTTTTTTAAGCAGCACAAATCAATTGAATTATCAAAGGAAGGTGTACAACATTCCCGCGATAAGTGATTTTGCATTCGGTTGCAACCAGCAACCTTCCTGTTCTATGTAAATAAAACCAGAATATAGCCACCTGGGAGCCGGTTGAGTCAGTTATTTGACATTCTCTCAGAGAGTGATTGCAGTCAGTCTAAGTCAGACTGAGATTGTTTGCTGAAAAGTTGCCTCCTCTCAGGTGACCTCTGCAACTGCCATCCAATCAAAATTGACCATTTGTGTTTGAGACCCTCACGTTCTGGGCAACTGTTTCGTCAGTTGCAGAATGTGAAAAAATTCAATTCTATGAGCAGGCAGTCACTGATTCTTAAAAAAATATTTTGTAGCTGCAAGGAGGTTGCTGTCCTGTTTTTACTTATGAGCCATAAGCTCGCTCTTAATTAGCATGTAACTTTGTCAAGCTAAGTGTGTCCAGTCCTGGGTGGTTTGTCAGTGGAGCTGATTTTACATTCAATTCAATTCAATTGAATTTATACAGGGCCAAATCACAACAACAGTCGCCTCAAGGCGCTTTATATTGTAAGGTAGACCTACAATAATACATACAGAGAAAAACCCAACAATAACATGACCCCCTATGAGCAAGCATTTTGGCGACAGTGGGAAGGAAAAACTCCCTTTTAAAAGGAAGAAACCTCCGGCAGAACCAGGCTCAGGGAGGGGCGGGGCCATCTGCTGCGACCAGTTGGGGTGAGAGAAGGAAGACAGGATAAAAGACAATGAGATACATAAAATCATCTCAATATAAGATGAGTCCTACTGTTCATAGTACTCCCTGAGTATTTGTATTTCTTTATAAAATATTGATATTTGGTGACTCTCTATCGATACAATATCACCACGCAAAGTATCGTAATGTATTGTATCTACCCTCCCACTCACGGTTTCAAACAATGCAATAGATGAACGCACAGCTACAACTCAGTTTAAAATTGGTTATATTATAAGCAATACTAACATTTTTGTAAAAGGAGAAGTGGAAATAACTGCAGATTTGTATTTAAAGCTTTTTGTTTAAAAAAAACATTTAGCAGGAAACTGTTATAAGGATCAGAAATAGAAAGCTTTTTTTAAATACCAGTTAATATTAAAATAGTAATACAGGCTTATATACAGTGAAGTGTATTTTGGTCTGAGGAAAGGCTGTATTTATTGTATGCAGAATGTACCATATGTGTGTGAATCAAAGCCAATTTTCTGTGTGAAAGCTCGAAAAAAGGCAACTTACGACAAGTTTGGAGAGGAGGGCCTGAGAGGTGGTATTCCACTTGAGTTTGCCAGCAATGGAACTTGGTCATCAAAATACGTCTACCATGGGAATCCTGACCAGACATTCAAACAGTTTTTTGGGGGTGACAACCCATTTGCAGGTGAGAAAAAAACATAATCAAAGCCCGACAGTGAATGTGCGTTTTCGATTTTAATCCTTTAATCCCCCTTCTTTTTTTTCTTTTTTTTTACTAGACTTCTACACAAATGATGTGCCGCTTCAGTTCGGTGGCCTGCAGCCACAAGTGGCGAAAACGCAAGATTCCCCAATAGAGAGAGACCTTCATTTGTGCCTGGACGATCTCTTCCATGGATGCACAAAAAAGATCAAGATATCTCGCAGAGTAAGACATGTTTATATTTTCTCCCTCCCGTGGCTTTTGTTGGATTCACTCATCTATAAGACTGCAAGCTCCTCATGGGGTTTAGAGCTAACTAAACAACAGCATTAAAAAATAAAATAAAAAACGCCATCACAAAGACATACTACAGCACTGATTTTGCCTCATATATTGTGCGATGCTTTATTTATTTTACAGGTCATGAATGACGATGGATGCACATCCAGTATCAAAGACAAGATTCTGAGTATAGATGTCAAGCCTGGATGGAACGAAGGCACAAGAATTACTTTCCCCAAAGAGGGAGATCAGGTAATTAACCAGCCTACACATCATTTTAAAATGGGGGGTTTGAAAGTGAGCTCATGAGTTGGTATAGTGTATTATTTTCATCCTTTTATACATAAATATTTCCTACAGCCTGAGTTGGGTTCGTGGCTCCGATGCCATTTCCGAGCTATATGGCTGCTATAACCCAGAAATGTATTTTTTGCTGTAATCAATCCTAGGCTTCAGTGTGCAGTTAGCTTTAAAGGGAAATTTAGCAGGTTGCCATTGTTATTGTGGTATATACATTACTGCAGTGCAGCAATTAGTGAAAAGATAGTAGAGGTAAGCATTAAAAAGGCTGAATGCGACAAAGGAGAGGGGAATTTTTAACAAATTATAATTTATTGTACTCCTTTTTCTGCTATTGCAAGTATAACTGATGACTAACTACTTGTGAAGGTTCTCCTAAAATTGGCACTTTGCATAGACTGCACACAAGTACGTTGTTCCTGCAGATCTTTTATAGGTTCACTGAAATGGAACACGCTTACTACCAAAAGTAAGCATGTTCGGTTTTAACACCCAATTACAATAAGCAAAAGGCATTTTGCTTATTGTACTCTGGGCAATTTTAGCCAAAAGAAATTATGCGCTCAAAGCTATTCTTCTTATTACTCTGTTTTTTTATTATGATGATGTGTACTGACTGTACCACTGCCTTGTTTGTGTATATTCTTTCCTTTACCCAGGGAGGGAATGTATAAAGAATTGTCTGTAAAGACTGCTGCATGGTAATCTTTTTATTTTGTTTTGCTGTTTTACCTTCAGGGACCAAACAGCATTCCCGCAGATATTGTGTTTATTGTGCGACAGAAGACTCATCCTCTGTTTGTGAGACATAACAATGACCTCATCTACAAAGCAAAGATTACTCTGGAGATGGTGAGTCATGTCATGGATTGATTATTGGCCATGCAAAAAGGTTTCTTTGAAGCTGTAAGCTGATTCCCTTGTTCGCAGGCTTTAACTGGCTTCTCTGTGGACGTGCAGACACTAGATGGCAGGCTGCTCTCTGTTCTTATCAATGACATTGTCCAGTAAGTGCTTTCAGTCACTGTCTTGAAAAACAGTTTTTCCCAGTCTGGTTGTTTTTACATTTATGTAGTGCCAGAGTGCAAAAACAGTCGCGTCAAAGTGCTTCGTATTGTAAGGAAATACAACCCCCCCCCCAAAAGAAAAAAAGCAGAGAAAACTCCAACAATTATATGATCACCTATGAGCAAATACTTGGCGACAGTGGGAATGAAAAACTCCCTTATAACAGGAAGAAATGTCCAGCATAACCATCTGCTATAACACTTAATGATTATTGTGTTTTTATTTTGTGCATTACTGCATTAAGTTTCCGCTCTCTGATTTGTTTGTCATGTCATATCAGCCCTAGATACCAAAAAGTCTTGTCCGGAGAAGGAATGCCGCTGTCCAAGAATCCTTCCCAGAGAGGAAACCTCATAATTACTTTTGACCTTAAGTTCCCCGAGACGCTTTCTACTGAGAGGAAGTATCTGATCAAGCAAGCTCTGTCTTTTAAAGATTAATCACATTCCAAATACATGTGTAATCAGAATGATTGATTGGACTGTTCATGTGGCTACATGTCTGTCAGGAGAGAGCAATACTGATACATTTGCAAATCGTGTCTTTCTGTTTTTATTTGCACTTTGCACTATGTCAGAATATTTCTGTAAACACGCTGGAAGATAACAAAAATGAAAGACAATGTGAGTGTGGTCGAACACGAGCCCATCGAGAGACAGTAGAGATTACAGATAAGCTTTGCAGCTGTGATTCGCTGCCATCATTGCTCGTTTCAGCTGCTCGTACGTCACAAACATGACCACGTTCCAGGACCCCAGGCGTAAGAAAGACGGGATAAACCTTAAGAAAATGGAAATGGAGGCAAAAACATTTTTGGTTTCGTTTCATTCACATTAAGAGTTGTCAAATGAATGTGGAATCACTGGGTTACCCTTTGTAAAAAGCACGCGGGCCTTCATTGGTCATCATGGCAGCAGCACAGTTGAGAACGCTGCTGTACTGGCCAAGAGCAGAGTTCATGTATCTTGTCTTGACCACATCAACAGGGGAGGCGATCACTGTTGTGCACAACCCCGCACCAAAGGCTGATGCAAAATGGCAGGGCAGATTATCTGTGGAGTGCACAGAACCCAGGGCTGAGTGCTATATCATACACATGCGTGATGTTGCTGTGAAGCCACTGTGTTTTACCTGTCAGCTGCGTGGACCTAAGGAGCATATCCTTGATGAAGTCATAGGTCACCAGTTCTGTGCAGTTAACAATAGCGTTACGTGCAATGTTTGGAGCTGTGCCTGTGTGACATCGAAAACAAAGATGCATCATAAGAAATGAAGCAGCAGCCTTTTAAAAACACGCATTTTGGAAGCTTGAGCTACCTTTCCACAGACCACAAATGCCTTCCTCCTTGGCAATTGTCTTGTAAGCATCCACTGTGCTACAGTAGCGTCTGGCACGGCCAAGACATCTGGCCTGTGCCTGGAAGCGAACTTTCACCACGTCTGTGGGCTGAGCAATGGCAACCGCCAAGGCACCTGTGGTAGATCCAGCCAGCAGCCGACTCCCAATGCCCACATCTAAACCAGGGAAGAGAGAGATGTCAGTTGAGACTGGTCAAAATTTCCCCTCAACCAAATAAACAACTGTCAGAATCCAATCACAGATGCTCACGGTCAGAGCCTTTAGTGTAGAACTGTTTAACAGAGTCGTAGAGACCAATTCGGACAGACGCAAAGCTCATCTGCCTCTGGAGTCCTGCCACCAGCCCACTGTAAAGACTCAGAGGACCCTCAGTACGCACCATGGTGGCGATGGTGCCGAACACCCCTCGATACTTCACCGTAGAGCCGCTCCCTGTAGCAGCAGAGCCTCTGGTCTCTCCTTGGATCTGTGCAATGAAAGTTCAGGCTACTAAGGTTACAAGAATTGGCTTTGTGTTTGTTACACAAGAATACTTTAATACCTGCAGTCGCACTTTGGCTGTGTCTAAGGGAAAGGTGAGCAGGTCAGCGATGCAGGCTGCAGTTCCTGCTCCCACAAACTTTACAGCTGCCGAAGGTGGCACATCTGCAGGCCTGAATCCAACCATTTTCCACAGTGTTTTTCAAAAACACAAGCGTTGTATTTGTGAACGTGAACACGACAAGATGTTCCTGCAAAATCTGACAGAAACAAATTTCACAAACACACTGCATTCAGAGACAAATGTTTTTTATTTAAAACTGCATCTGTAAATTTGACACATGAGAGTTACATCCCATCAGGAAGACAAGTGTTGCTTATTTTATGGATCTGCTTTACACGCTTGATCCTGGCTTCTTTTACTCACTATGCTAGTAATGCCTCCAGCTGGTGTGTGCCATAAGCTCATTTAACACCTCTATTCAGCAAAAGCAGCACCCCCCCACCCCCCCCCACCCCCCCACCCCCCACCCCAAGTACAGGCTTTAATGAGACTGCTGTTCATTATGTTCTGTGTACTTGCATGGGTTTAAAAAAGAAGCAATGCAATTTTAATTTAAAGTCATTAAGTCTTACCTTTATAGGAGCAGTTTGGGACAGATATTTTAGAGATCAGGATTCTCTAAAGGCGTCCCTCTGGCTGAACTTTGTCCCAGCTATGAACAACTTTTCTTGTTTTTCCATAGATTTTTTAACAGCAATGAGGCGTATAATCATACTCCAAATCCTGCATAAGAGTCATTTTAAAATCAACATAGCAATCCAACAAAGCTTTATTAATTAATAATATTAACAGGAAAGTAAACAGTAAAAGTAAAAAGGTAAAATTTGCCTGTATTGTGATATGATTTGTAGAGTTGAAAAGCCTTACCAAGGGACAATAACCAAACCTCTCGTCGAATCTCAGACAATAAGTGGAACAGATGCAGGAGCGGGGAAGAGGTCGGCCTCTTTAAATACTGCCCATGATGCTGTTACATCATAGCATGGCATGTGTTACATGGTGGGGTCCCACCCCAAATATGTGGGCCGACTGTAAACCTGCATTTGTCACGTGTGGGAATGTGTGTAGTTTAGAGCACGCCTTCCTTTTGTCTTCTTGACTCCACAATCAAATGTATCATGTCCCCAAACCCACATTAATGCACAAACATTAATTAAATCTTATTCCATAAAATCAATGTTTTATCTTATATTTTAATCAAGCCAGTAATTTCTTTAGGTGGTCTGTGCAGCAAAGACTTGTAAAGTAAATGCTGAGTCATGATGAAAGTACAAGAAGCCGCGCGCATGTACACTGCACCCCAAATTGTAGCCATATGTTCAAACCGATAATTGTCTCACTGCAGCTTTTCATTAAAACGTGTTTCGTAACTTGTTGTTCCTGCATTTAGTAGTGAGCTGGAAGGTTGAAACACGCAGTTAGTCGTCATACAGTATTGTTTGTTTAAATGGCAGAACTGCAATCCAGCTATGCCACTGTAGGGGACTCCAAAAAAGTGCAGCGTTGTATTTTTAGTGCCATGTTGGCAAATGTTATGAGTCAGTGCATGGGTGCATGTTGTCCTCCATATGTAGTGGTATGGTGGCGCTATCTTTCCATATCTGACTGACCCAGTTATGGGACTGCAGCAGCTGAACCAGGTGTTTGGATCACAGAGATTCATCATGAACTGTCATAAAAATATAAAATGTGAAGTGATTTTTTTTTTCACATTTATCCTAAAAGGTTTAAATGCTCATTTGTGCTATTGTTAGCTTAGATGATCTCAATAATAAGTGCAGTTTATTTTTCCTGATGATTATCCTGGGACAAATTATGGAAAAAAGAGGTGATGGATAACTGGTTACTATATAAACAGTATATTTATACTGTCGATTCCCAGTATATATATTTTATACATCAACCAGTTGTCCATCAATTATATAGTAACTTATCCATACCCCCATATCTGTACTATGTGTGAGATAATATGTCAGTGATCCAAGTGTTCTTCAGAGTGATGGCCTGTGCAAAGAAACTGCACAGATATCGTACCTGGTAAGATCTTTTTCAGAGACCTATGGAAATGATACAGCACTCTAAGAATTATGGAGTTGGAAATATATTCATAAATGAAAAAAAAACATATTTTAGGTTTAAACTGGTGGTTCTGTGCCAAAAGAAATGCTGGGAGGTGTTTTATGACAGCCTGTTTCATGATTTGTTTGTTGTAACAATTCATTTTTATTTGTATCGCCCAGTAGCACATATGTTCAAAGGGCCTCACAGGCATAGAAATATATTAAGAAACAAGGTCACTTCCATGTTAAACAAATAAGCAACCCATCAGAAATACATACATGCAAAAAAATCCATGAGTGAAAAGAATTATATAGTAACATATGAACTCTGGGACGTAACAGAAGCAGAAGGCCAACATGATACTGATGAAGAAGACATGCATATGGTCCGTATTACCATGTGTAGGTACATCTCTGTAAATGTGGCTGAACTCCGGAGGCACATTTCAGGAGTATTATTATTAAGTGGAAGCACTAATAAATGCTCGATTTTAAAAAAGGAGGTATATTTTTAAGAGATCAGCAGCATTTGCTTACCTAAAATTCTGAGGCTTTTCCAGAAGATTTTAGGAAATCCGCATTCCCAATTTCTCCCTGTGAGGAGTGTTGTATATCTAACAGGTTAGGAGTGGGAGTCGGGATGTGAAGTGACATTCAGAATAAAGTTACAAAGCAACACTGGCATTCAATAGCATACAAAAGGATGGGCGAAATTACAATTTTTCACTAATTAAAGTACTTTATTTCACAAAATACACATGACTCATCGACCAGCAACAAATCATACATACTTTTCACATCTAGTGGCAAATACATTAAACTACAACTACAAAAGGTAAACAGTGTAAACAATCCAGAAAGACATATTGTGGTCATTTTAAGGTATGTAATGTTGGACATAAACTGTCTTCTGCTTTCATGGAAAGCCTAAAGGAAGTAAAAACTAACTTTACAGCCTAACATTATTCACATGATTATTTCATTTAAACATAGAAGTTTACACCAGAAGGAGCTTCTTGTAATGGAATTTCTGACCATTAAAATGCGTGAAGCCTCTGTAAGGTCTACCCTTTAAATTATTTTAAATATTGCAACAATGCCCCTGAAGTCTTCCTGCTCAAACTCTTTCTAATGTCAACTCTTGTGTTTTCATGCTCCTGTATTTTCAGGTCTCCAACCAAGAGTCGTCAGTAGTCACCCCTGCACTGTGGTGTGCGTTAGGCTGTTGTGTTTTGCGGTCCTGAGTTGAAAAAAACAAGTCTGACTAGTTGCGGTCAGAACGGAGACTCCCAGTACTGATGTGTCCTGCTCATGCCTTTTTTAATTTGCTCATAGGTGACAAACATCACAATGTTCCAGGAGCCGAGTCGCAGGAAAGAAGGCATGAACCTAAAGAAGAGGAAAAAAAGACAAGTGAAGAATTATTCAAAAGGACTTTTGTAGCATCTCTGCTTGCCTCGTGGTCATGTTAGAGTGTGTTTACCCTTTATAGAAAGCCGTGGATCCTTCGTTTCTTAGCATTGTGAAGGCACAGTTGAGAGCGCTGCTGTACTGGCCGTGTCCTGAGTTCATGAAACGTGTTTTAACTACATCCACAGGAGAAGCCACAACTGTGGTGCAGAAGCCTGCGCTGAAGGCGGCCGTGAAGTGGCACGGCAGGTTGTCTGTGGGAGGACAGAAGTTTAGTCACAACTTTCACGTTAATTAGACAGACGTTTGAGGGATGTTTGTCTGTATCTTTCATTCATGGCCTCACCTGTCATTAGGTTGTACTTCAGGATGAGTTCTTTGATCATGTCGTAGGTCACCAGCTCTGCGCAGTTTACGATGGCGTTACGAGTGATGTTTGGCATGCATCCTGGAACACAAAAGAGGATCGTAACTGTCAGAACAGCCGAGGGCATTTTCATATAAAGATGAATGACTTGAATGTAAAGCAGGTACCTCTCCACAGGCCACGTACACCCTCATCTCGGGCAATCGTCTTGTAGGCATCTATTGTGCCGTTGTATCTCCTCTCGCCGTCAGCCAGTCGGACCTGGGCTTGAAAACGCACCTTTACCACATCTGTTGGCTGTGCAAAAGCCACAGCCATTGCCCCGGTAGTGCAGCCCGCCATGAGCCGAGTAACGATCCCTGCACCTATGTGCCATACGTATGTTGGTCACGAAGAAACAGTGCAATAGAAGCAGACTTGTTGCTCGCTCACTAATACTCACTCTCGGTGCCTCGGGTGTAGAATTGCTTCATGGAGTCGTAAAGGCCGATACGGACAGAAGCGAAGCTCATCTGTCTCTGCAGGCCTGCCACCAGTCCATTGTACAGACTCCTGGCCCCCTCTGTGCGCACCATGGTGGTGATGGTGCCAAACACGCCCCGATACTTCAGTGCACCAACTCCTTCGGCTATCTGAGACTCTCCCTGAAGCTGCACGACATGATGCAAATAAAAGAGGATTTAATATGACATCTATCATAAGGTTAAAGGCATCGGGTTAACACTGTTTGTCTAACCTGCAGTCTGACTTTGGCGGTATCCAGTGGAAAGGTGACAAGGTCGGCAATGCAGGCTGCCGTGCCTGCTCCGAAGAACTTAACTGCCGCAGAGGGCATCACATCTTTGGGTTTCATGCCAACCATTGCTGCGCCTCAGCTGAGGACATGAATGGAAAGATATGCTCTTACGATCCAAAGACCTTTGGTTGTGTAACACAAAGCACCAAAGAACATCGCTGCCTGGACAACCAAATATGGGATATAAGCGTGTAAAGTAAAAATAGACTACATGCATAACTGCTGATATTTTCTTATATTACACGACTTTTGTTCGATCTGTTTAAAATGACTAACTGTGACAAACCTGGGTGTATTTAGTGCGCTGGATGTGCTGGAAATATTTTCATGCTGTTCATGCTGAAAGTCATACAAACCTGTGAGTAAGGATTATGACAAGTTTCAGGTTTTCTCAAGAAACAAGCTAGTCTTTCGAGGTGCTTCTGTTGTGGAAATGCCTCGGACCATAAACTCTCCTCGAAATGAGCCAGTGAGCATACCACCACTTGCTGCAAAAACAACCATATAGCACAACTCAGCAAATCATCATTCACTCAGTTTTAGCGAGAAAGCGACCCACAGCTTGAAGCAAATATAACTGATATTTTCAATTAACTGCCAATAAAAATCACAGCTATGTTGATATGCAAGGTTGTTGTTTGTTTTTTTACCTTAATAGTTTTCCAAGTAAATTATAATCCAATTAACAGGAAAAATGTATACAGTCCTCTTTGATAGTTAATCCTATACGTTTTCTCGTCTCCTGTGTGCCTACTGTTCCAGTATGGAAGAAGCCTCCCCAAATTTATAGGAAGCTTTTCCACGTAACTACATGCGCTGTAGCCAAACACGTTGTACACCTGTCATGAGAATATCATGTTTATCAGTCTGTGAGCCTGAGCCAGATATCTGAGCTCTTGTTGATCTCTTCCTGATGCCGTCATCATGGCAGCCTGGCATGAAATCTCTGAGTACACGTAAACATTCAGGTCTATCTGGAGTCCGTTTACACAGTAAAGAAGTTACTGCTGAAAGTTTCATGGATTTTTTTAAAAACATTGTTTCAGGTTTGGAATCCAGAGTTTGATATTTGTGTGAAATTTCAGCTTTTCTTCCCCAGATACCAGCTCACATTACTCTGCTGACATCACAGGGTATTTTTCTATTGGTTGGTTACATGCAGCCAATCAGACTGGAAGGCTTGTCTGGATTCATGAGATGTTTGCCTGGGATTTTTGTCTGGCTGGGTAATATTTCCACCGCATTATTTCTTACTGTTTGTGCCCAGGGAACAGAATTAGCTCTAGAAGTTTAGAAGCTTTAGGAATCCCCCACCTCTCCATCCCAGCAAGCCAATCCATACCATGGGTCAGTGTGGTTGGGTGCAGAGAGAATCTGAATGCAATCATTTGGGTTGATTTGTAACAGGGACACAAGCTGCTTCCAACAAGAGGAGCAGCTGCCAAATGGAAAGTGTCAGGGGGAGGAGGTGCACTCTTTGTAGGTGGGTGTTGGCTCTCTGTGAGTGCATGCCTCCTTACATATGAGTTTCCATTGCATTCTGGGTCACAGGTCGCCAAGTTTTAATCAAGTCAGAAAGCACAGCCTCATATTCCAAATATCAAAGGATTCACCTGCTGCAACATGTGTCAGGAAGTTGTTCTGTTCCCAAGACGACACTACTAAATTTTGTAACCATACTAGTACTGTGCAAAAGTCTTGAACCTCCCTCGTTTCTTTATATTTTGCTTCCAAGGAGCCAGATAAGATAAGATAACTCTTTAAGATAAGACCTGGTGCTACTGAGCCATAGTTCTCCAGGCTGCTTTTTTTGCTTATATTCATTCAAGTCTTTTAACCATTTTTAGAAGAATGTTTTTTATTTGTTAAGCCACTTAACACTGACCTGTTAATGAATTAGAAAACACACCCAGCTAAAGCAATTAACACCTAAGACAACTTAGCCAAGAGCCAGTTTTGAATTGCATCATTAGGATCTTTGCTAAGCCTGTCACAAAAAAATTTCTTCTCATTTATTTTGTTGAATCCACAAAATATGCCAAAGATAACACAGTTTGACAGACAGAAAACTGTGTTTTAAAAAAAATAATAACTTGTCCCACGGTGTGAAGGTTGTCCTTAAATACAGAAACCAGAAAAGAACTGTATGATTTTTTTTAAAATGAAAAAACAGGGGACTTGACCCTTCATCATCCACCTGTTCTTCACTAAAACCTCATCAGAAATGGTCTCAGTGGGAGGATGGCTGACAAGAAATCATTCTCAAGGAAGGAAAACAGGTAGGCTGAGGTAATCCAAATTACACAAGAACTGGACTGAAAATCTGAATCTGAATTTGGAATTGTTTGGTTCACATCATTGTCAGTATGTGTAGGGAGGAGATCAAGAAGGACATACAACAGTGAGTATCTACAGCCACTTGTAAAACTCAGTGGATGCTCTTTCATGGTTTGGGGCTTCATTTCAGGCAGTGGTGTTGGAAATCCTATCAAAATTGCTGAAATTATAAATGCAGAAAAGCCCGGCTGTGTTGAAAAGTAGTCATACCAGATATTGACTTTCAACCTTATTAGAATTGTATAAATTCAGTCTTTGCCTTGTATTTCTTATATTTATACACTATATTTCCATAGCTCAAGACTTTTGCACATTATTGTAAACATCTTTCTTTCCCATAAACTGCTGCTTTATAGCAATATTACCCTGTACACATAAAACAGTGTCATAATTCATCTTCAGTGTGACGACTTACTCAGAAACTCTGAAGCAGTTTTGGTAAACAGGGTCAAAGTAAAGCCATACACCTGCATATTTTCCACTCCTCATATTTACAGCTATAAAGGTTCTATATTAAACAAGGCATTCGTAGGAGATTAGTAAAGTGAGAACATATTTACGTTTAGCAAACATATTCAGACTGGGTCCTGTGATGTCAAACGACATTACAGGACATTTGAGAGGTAATAATCCATTTATACTGTATTCCATGAAAAGGTTAAGGAGATGGTGGAGGTGGTTTCACCACCTGCTCTCTAAAAACAGTTTCCTGGGAACACTCTGTGAGAAACATTTAAGCACACGCTCGGGCCAGTAAACAAGTCAGTGGGCTGGCTTCAACCAGTCTGCAGTGACCTCCCCTTAAAAAGACACTGAGCCCCCAGACCTGATCACCCCTGTGCTCTGAATACTGTGAACTTTAAATCAGTACTCTATAAATAAGGTCATCACTTAAAGGTTAGTAGGGCACAGGTTTATGGCTCAGCATCTTTGCTTCATTCACAAAATCAACTCAGACTTGGATTGTCCTGGTTCTGCTTCACTGGATAATTAAATAGGAAAAGAATAAAGGGACACTAAAACTGCTTATTTTTAATATCTGTAGTTACCTCAAGTTTATAATGTTTTTCCAACTTCATCAACAGCTTTTATCATTTATGCTGACTTACAGTTTTTCACCGTACACAAAACAGATATTCCACTAAGACAGCAAAAGGCCCCGCATAGCAGAGATGACTCAGGGGTTTGCAGACTGTTCGGATTTTGCTTTGGCTTGCATTTTTCTTAAAACTTAGTGCTTATTCTGGCTCTCACTGGCTAGATGATATTTTCTAATACTAGGTTCGATCAGTGAGCAAAGATCAGATCACACATGTTGTTAAGGAGTTGATGGGTTAGAAAGCAAACACAGGGATTATAATGTAATATAAGCACTGTTGAGAAGATACGGAAGGAAGAGTTCATGTAAAGCACATGATGAAAAATGCTTGAATAGTCTGGAAAATTGCCTAATATTGTATTCCAGAGAGCTTTTTTTTTTAACAATATCACAAATTCAACTTAGTATTTAAAAGATATCTACTGGAAAGGCTCTTTATGCAGATACTCCTCAGTGTTTAGACCTTTGCCCTACTTCAAATGTGCGTCAGTGCTGACTGATTAGGATGATAATCAGCTGAGTCCTCCTAAAATTACACGTGACTCTTATGTTTGCTCACCAGCACCTGTTCCCGTCCTCTCGTCTACAACTGTGGAGAACTGGCTGCCATAACATGTTCATTTTACATAACTGCGATTCTTTCTCTCTGGTGTCTCTCACTATGTCGCTTGACTTCAGCGTCTGGAAGGTTTCACACTTTAACAACTTAAATTTCCTCTTAACAGTTTTTGTTATTGGAATGTGTGTGTTTACTTTTGCACTTTATATGTGTGGACATAGTGGGTCACATTCTTGGATGGGCACTGCTTCCAGTCTGTGTTCAGGAATTATATAGTAAGCTAAAATATATATATCTATATATCTATATATCTATATATATAGATATAGATAGATAGATATATATAGATAGATAGATATATATAGATAGATAGATATATATAGATAGATATATAGATATATAGATATATATACACGACTGACCTAAAACACACACACACATATATATAAATATAGGAGTGTTGTTGTTTTTGTTTTTTTCTGAATTCTCGCTTTTTGTTGAATTTACTCTGCCTTCACGCATCTGCATTTGGGTCCAGATCACAACAAGCGCCTTGAGGCAACTGTTGTTGCGATTTAGCGCTATATAGATAAAACTGAATTGACCTGAACATTCGACCTACGTAAAGCAGCAGACTGTGACACAGCAGAGTTTTTCAAGTGCTGCTTTTAAATGCAGAGCTGTATACAAAGTTGTGCTTTCAGAACACGCTGAAAGTTTGGTTCTTGGAAGAAAGAATAGAGGATCATGTATACCATACTTATAGCTGTTGGTTCATTCATGTTTACAGTTCATTTTCCTTTAATGTTACTATAGCAAAGCTGTGAAAAGATTTGATGCTATGTCTGTGACACCACAGATGCAGTGGGTTGCTGGGCTTGATGACTAAAGTTAACCTCTGCTTAATGTAACAATACAGGCCCAGCGATGTTTATTAAGAGTGAATCGCTGCTTGCAACAAAAGTTTAATGCAAGTCAATGTTATTTGTAACAATCCAGTTAGAGAATCAGCAGCTGTAACTGTGTCGTTGAATTTGAGAAGGCAGCTAATTACATTACTCCTTTACATTACTGCTCACTAAGTAACTAAAGTGAAATAACAGTTCTACACTGTTTATTTATTATTTAAAATCACATATAAATAGGGTAAGAATATTAAGTTAGGATAATATAAAACAGCATGTTTAAGTTCTGTTAACATAATCCCATTGTTAATGAAAAACAGCTTTAGTATTATAAAATAAATAAATAAATAGGATTACCTGAATTTAGCTGACCAAAAATATGGGTGGAATAAAAATATCTACATTTTTTGCCCATTACTCCGTTTTCATCCATTTATCCAGTTGGGGATCACAACGGGGGGATTAAGGCTTTTCGCGCTGTCACAGGGCAAGAGAGGAAGATACAACCCGCACAAGTCCGTCCCAGGGCAGACAACAACTCAAACCTACAGCTAGTTAAAAATCACTTGTTTCTCAAACATGCGTATCTTTAAGTTGAGGCCGCGGTACGTTGAGGCCAGGTAATGCAGTCTGCAAAGGGGGCAGATGGACTTAAACCCACCTCCTTTTTTGCTTTAAACTGACAGCGCTAGCTATCACGCTACTATACGTTACTCGGTTTACACTTCATATTCATAATAATCAGTCTCAGTTTTTAGTGTAAAGAGTCTGACTTTCATTCACGGTACTCCGAACTGCTGAGAGCTATGAAGTGTAAGCCGCTTTTGAATTGCAGTTGAATTTGTAGCCAGTAGATGGCGACGATGCTGTGAAATAATCTGCGTCAATCATCTGAGAAAAAGAGACCGTCATTTCAGCTGCCGAAGAAGAAGAACGCTAGCCGTTAGCTTGCCAGGCAAACGCAGTTTAACCAATGTCTGGCTAACATCGGTGTAGGTGTCGAAGAAAATCATATGCTGCGAAAGCGAGAGAAGGTCACATCAAAGAGTTCCTGACAAAGACCGGCCTCACTTTTGACAACATGGAGAAACAGTTGCATTTGAACCTGTTAGCCTCCAGACCTCCCATGGCAGGTGGTTTTCAGTCTGGCTCCAAAATGAAAATGGGGTGAGTTAGCTAGGATCTTAGCATTTATTTGTTTAGTTGTGTGCACTATCACGCCGGTTGTGTTTTTTTTATTCCCAAAGCCAGGGAGTGTAATCGTATATTTAGACTCACTGAATTGCACTGCGTAACTGATTGCTTTAGCCCGGCTAGGTTAGCTGCATCTGCTACCAGAGTTTAGATAATCAGTGTTATACACCACTGATTGATTTAGCCTGGCGCTTTTGCGTGTTAGCATTTAAAATTTAAAAGGATATCCTTTCAGTCTGAAAATTCTGTTTTGTTTTTTATTATATTTTTTTGTCTTTTTGTTTATTTTTCTATTTTGTTATTATTGCAATGTTTGATGATGTGAAAAGAAGGGGAGAGTTATTTTTAGTCTGGAGGGTTTTTTGTCTTTCAATTGCTTCTACAAAGTTTAACAGTCCTGTTGCAGTGTTGAGTCACATCATACATGGATTCGGTTACTTATTTACTTTTGCTCTTTTTATTTACAGACCTGGGCGTAAGAGAGATTTCTCTCCTCTGCCCTGGAGTCAGTATTTTGAAACCATGGAAGACATAGTGGTGGAAAATGAAAACGGCAAAGATATATCCTTGACTGCTGTTCCAGTTTGTAAGAGGAAATTGAGCATGAATGACACACACTTTGGGTCCAAGTCTTCAGATTTAACTCCTGATATCATTGTGCTATATGACTAGAGTATATGCAGAAGATTAATGTGCATTATTGTTGGACGAGCATCTGCTTACTTCATTATTCTTTCAATTAGTATTTCTTTGACCACTGTGAACATTTTCAGAATTTACTGCAGTGGCTCCCATGGTCCTGTGCTGCTCCTGCTTCACGGAGGAGGCCATTCTGCACTATCCTGGGCGGTGTTCACTGTGAGCTTCATAACTATTACAGACCCTTTATGATCTGTTAGCAGTCTACATTAAAGTTAACAGCAATGTTGGGCAGAATATTTATAAAGCTTTTTTTTTTAATGTCAACATATCGTCTGTGATCTATTTAATTGAAATGATTTTTATCTATGTTCTTGCAGGCCATCATATACAGCAGGATTAATTGCAGGGTGGTAGCTATGGACCTCCGAGCTCATGGTAGGTTGCAGGACACAGCAAGTTTTTATTTTTGCACGTGGTTAGAGGATTATGGCATTCTTTGCCTCAGCGTACATGGATCAAATGAGTTAAATCTCTGTCATCACCTGCAGGTGACACTAAAGTGAAAAATCCTGAAGATCTCTCTGCAGATACGATGGCGAAGTAAGTCTTTAAGAGAACACAGTTTTTTGTGGGAATGGTTTTTAAACATCTGCTTCTTGGGTTTACATCACAGGAACATATGGGACGCCACAGAAGGTGGTGATGATCCAGCAGGCATGAGTTTAATTAAGAAAGTTTTGATTTCACCGCTCATTAAACGTGGGAAGAGTGTGGTGACTTCCTGTGGCTCACATTTGGATTATTGATTGCGGTGTAAAATGTAAAAAGTAGTTACAAGCTTCCTGATTAGAGTTTCAATCATAACGGAAAAACAGGCTGACAGGTTATATTCTTGCTTCTTTTCTTTTTTTTCTTCCCCAAAGGGATATTGGCAAAGTGGTGGAGGCACTTTATGGAGACAACCCACCTCCAATCATGCTTATTGGACACAGCATGGGAGGGGCCATTGCAGTTCACACTGCCACTGCCAATCATATACCATCCCTGCTTGGTCTGTGCGTCATTGACGTCGTAGAGGGTAAGCTCCACAGATAAGTGCATATTTCCAAAGTCGTTAAAGACGAATCCTGCGAGTTGCTTTGGTAACGCCTCAGGTCACTTATTTGGGCAGTTACTTTGAGGCCCTTACCTAAATGACTGAGGAGACTGAAAATGGCTTAAATGATCCACAAGTTGTTCTTCTATTCTGAATGGGCAAAGTCACATGTCAGTACAACTTCATTAACAGTCCAAATTTGATCAGTGACTGGCTTGTTCTACTAAGAGCACTTGAACAAATATTATGCTAATCAATGCTCTCAATACTGGGAACAAAGAAAAACAATGAGTATACTTAAACACTTAACTGTGTGCACGAGTCTATGCAACAACATGAGCAGATCACATGATTGGGTCTTTTCCAGTACAGGATGCTCTCATTGATTTTTATGAGAGCATTTGCCATTTCTTTCTTCTTCTTTTTTTGTTAGTTGTTTAGTTTTTTTTAATGATGTAAAATGTAAGTTATTATGCTGAATATTGTTAATAAATGCCATAAGCACTAATTGTGGGTTTGTTAAATAATTTTGTTTGTGTTAACACTCAGGGACAGCAATGGATGCTTTGAACAGTATGCAGAATTTCCTCAGAAGTCGGCCAAAAACATTTAGATCTCTGGAAAATGCGATTGAGTGGAGGTAAATGTTAAACAGTGAGCCACACTGCTGCATCTTTTTGTTTGATTAGATTACATCATACATATATATTCTGTCTTTTAGTTTGCAAATTGTGCCAAGTGTTATTTGTCCAAAGCACACTGAAATAACTTCTTTATTTATTTATTTATTTGTTCGTTGCAGTTCCTTACCTTGAAGAGCTTCAATTCTTAATTGTTGTATACAAGTGCCTAAAGGTGTTCTTCACCTTTTTCCTTTCAGTGTGAAGAGCGGCCAGATCCGAAACATCGAGTCAGCCCGGGTGTCCATGGGAGGCCAAGTGAAAAAGTGTGTCTGGGCTCTCTCTTCTCTGCAGTTTTTTCCGTGTGGGTTTGTGGCTTTAACTGACCATTTCAATTTCCTCTCTTGTGACTTTTACAGATGTGAGGAATCCAGCAGCAGTTCAGGGGTGTCTAATAGCATTGGTGAAGGTATTATAGAAGAAGAGGAAGATGAGGAAGCAGAAGAAGAATCCAGCAAGAAAAGAGCAAAGGAGGATGACCAGGAGGTTTGGTCTCTTGCTTCTTAGTTTTCTCTTGTCATCTGTAAGTGTTTTGGAAAGAGATTGAAAGCTATAAAAGAGTATTTGAATTCTTTCACACAGACGAAAAAGGAGAGCATCTTCACCTGGAGAGTAGAGCTTTCCAAGACAGAAAAATATTGGGAGGGTTGGTTCAAGGGTCTGTCTGCCCTCTTTCTCACCACCCCTGTGCCAAAACTGCTCCTTCTCGCAGGTTTGATTTATTCTTTTTTTTTTTTTTTTTTTTCTCAAATATCTAGTAGTTTAAATAGGACACACACACTGACTGCACAGTTTCACGCCTGACTTATCTCGTTGTACAGGAATAGACAGGCTTGACAAAGATCTTACCATTGGACAGATGCAGGGTAAAGTGCACAGATTGTTTCTCCCTTTTTTTTTGCAATTTTCTGTAAGAATAAACGCATTTAAAAAAATATTATTTGTTTGCAGGAAAGTTTCAGATGCAGGTCCTCCCTCAGTGCGGTCACGCTGTTCACGAGGATGCACCTGAGAAAGTGAGCGTTCTTACCCGAATTTACTGGCACTGTACTCATGTCAGAGGCCCATAACGTTATATATTTATGTTTGCGTGCTGCATGTTGTTATGTCTGTTTTCAATGTTTTAACTTGCTCCTCTGACATCTGTTGCTAGGTAGCAGATGCACTAGCAACATTTATGGTTCGGCACAAATTCACTGAGTTTAAGGAGGGATACCTGTGGTAAGTGAGCTCACTACTAAGGAATGAGGTTGTTAAATTTCCAAGAGATGCATTAATTATATGTAGAATAATATGATAATCGTTTCAGTTCTGCTTTAACAGTAAAAATCTAGATTTTTAAATTGGTTGATAAGGAATTTATCCTTGCTTGTTCCTGTCAGGGAGGCTGGAATAAATGGTAATGGTAGAGACACATGAAGAATTCACCTAATCTTACTTGATTCCATTTTTCTTATCTTTTTCTGCAGCTAATTTCCAGTTTTGCGTCTACATATAGCCAGCAGCCGTAGAAGAAGTGTCTCAAGATTTATCAACATCATTGTCCAATTAAGGAAAATATAGCTGCTATTATTATTATTATTATTATTATTATTATTATTATTATTATTATGCTTTTGTCATGTTGATATTTTTGCCTTTCTGCTTTGCCTTATTTTTATTTTAAATCATCAGATTTGCTTGTATGTTTCCTTTTTGTTTATATATTTTTTTTTAAATTTCTGATTTGTAATGTTCTCCTGTTTTATTTTGAGTGATTGCATCATTATTAATGTGTGTTTAATGTTTGAATTTAAACAGTGATTAAAGATGGATACAGCCAGTAGTGTCACCCAGTCTTTTAATATGTGCGTGTTAATATGCATGTTGTACTTAATTCTAGTTTTCTATCGTTTCTATGCTGTTCGCACTAGAATAACTACTAGAACGTTCTGCTGTTCTGAGTGAGTTCTGGTTGTTAGTCCCTTTTTTTTTCTTTTTTTATCCAGTAGGTGAATTAAGTTGACCAGGTGCCCCAGTTTGTAAAAGCCTGAATGGCACATTCAGCTCTTGTCCAGCAATGTTTCAACACATTGTTTACAACACCTAGATTATTGAATCTTGGACACAGTTGGGTGTTCCAGCAGGAAAATGATGTTAAAATCGGTTTTGGAATGTATAAAGCACGCTAACAGTGAGTATCCTCGACACTACTGAAAATATGTCCACTGCATTTAAAAGTTGGTCTGTGCCAAGAAACCCAAAAATTTACATGATTTCTGTCAAAAAGAGTGGTAAAAATATTCAGCCAGAATTACGCCAGAAGTTTGTTGATGGCTACCAAAAGCATGTAGTTGAGGTCCAACTAGCCAACAGGGGTTCAACCAAATATTAGCAGAGAAAATGTGCACATTTGAGCCAGTGTGGATACGAGATTTATGCTGTACAATCATTCATGATATTACCATGGCATTCATTCCCATCATTATTTTTTGTGAAGCATGTGTAGCTCATGTATGTAATTAGCCGGATCAGTGGCAGTATGAAATTGTATTAAACATTTCTTTTACAAAATCATCACAGATATGCAAACAAGTCTGAGATTCTGCAGATTAGAAATCCAAGGTTGGCTGCAATTTCTAAACTTTATGAAAAAGGTGACATCTTTTTCCTCATGTCCTTCATACACTCCGTGGAATAACAAAAGGTTTTTAATTGTCCCACAGTGAATTATCAGAGTGAGAAATATGTTGCAGAGATGTGCAGTATAAACACCTGAATTATTAATGAGCCATAATGACTGTCCTCCAAAGAGCTGAAGCCTCTGAGATTATTTTGTGATCCGAGTCTGTAAACAGAGCTGACGTGCACCGCTCCCAACAGGGGCAAAGTTTATGGGCCCGGCAAATTATGTTTTTTTTATTTTTTATTATTGATTGATTTATTTATTTTTTTTAGAAAAGAAGAAAAAAAAAACAGCAAAAAACAACTTCGCTGTCAGCGTTAGTTACACAACTCCAGCCTCATGAAAATGCAGGAGCTGTCCATGATGCAGTGGTGCTGAAATACTAAAACGGGGTCAACAAATTGGTCCCTTCTATCAATAAAACTCCACTATATTACATGATATTACCTTATAGTGAATATCTGTCCAATGTATTGATGGGCCAGGGTGTTTAATACCTAATCTCGCAATATGACACAATTCATGATCCTCAGAGGATAAAACAGACCTGATGTGAGTAAAAAAAAGGTCACTATGTAGTGTAATGACATTTCTACTTTGAGTTCAATTCTACATACGTAAGGCGTAATTGACGACTCCTTTGAACAGACATTACAAATAATAGCAAATAAATAATACATTAGCTCACTGAATTGGCACTGCGTGATCAAATCTTTAGGATCCCTGCTATAAACAAATCTGAAATGCCTTTATATTGCTTGCCTTCAACAAACAGTGCAGAACTGAGCCCAGCAAGCTCACTAGATTTAATGTAATGGGCACTCATGATATAACATTGTCCTCTGGAGCTGTACCTAAGGCCCAGCTTTCAAGACAGTTTTCCTCTGCACAAAATAGAGCAGGTATCAGTGGGACTGGGCCACAAAAATAAATAAGAAAACTGTAGTTTTTTTTGTTTGTTTGTTTGTTCTTTGCCTTAGCTTCTCTGGTGACTCATTTGACTGAAATAATGGCTGCTTGGGGCAAAGTTTATGGGCGCAGCAAATTATGTTTCATTTTTTATTTGCTTTGTTTTAGAAAAGAAGAAAAGAAAATTACAATCTGTGTCACACTGCACTTCTGTTCTCTGTTGGTTTTGAAAGCATAATGTACATTAATCAAGGATCCATGAAGAAATGCCCGGAGTTACTGTTTTCTCTTACAATCTGACTGAAAAGATCCAGTTGGGTTTTATTATCGTCTAGGTGAATCATCTTATTATGAAAAACAAGAGTAAGGTGATATTAGTGCTGTCAGCAAAAAGAACTAAAAACAACAAGCCTCCAGCAGCGTTAGACCCAAAAGAAAAAAGAAATGTTTTTAAAATTCATATCTGCTGCCACAAACGGCATATTAAATATATGTTTGTCATGTGATTCCCTTTTCAGGCTTATTTGTGTCATCAACTATTCACAGATCAAACTCAAACAGCATCACTGATCTCTTTAATGACTCACATTAAACTGCCTATTAAAAGAATATCTGCTTCTGGAGTGTTGGTGCAGCTCACTGGGTTGAGCAGGCAGCTTGTGTGCTGTAGCGCAACAACAGAGGTCTGGGTATAATCACCCCAGGTAATTTGCTGCATGTCTTCTCCCATGCTCTTTTTGAATGATAATTATAAAATTTCAAGAAAACAAAATATGTTAAAATGGATATCTAATTCCTGCACAGTTCCCTAAACAGGAAAATGTCACGAGAAGAGAAGAGCCCTTTATTGTCATTGTACATGTACAATAAAATTATGGGTGTTCCACACCAACTGTGCATGAATAACATGTAAATGGTAAGACAGCAGGAATAAATAACAAAACAGGAGAAATATATACAAAACAAGTGAAGGTCACAGAATGTAGAACAAACTGTGTGATATCCTTTAATGGTAAGTGGAGTAAAAAGTAGATGGAAAGATAACATCAGTTAGACAACTTGGCCAAACTTTCACTCCACAGCTAATGCAGAGTATTGAGTGGTTGTGACGCTGATACAGATGGTGATGTCAGGACATGGCTCACCTATAAAAAGGACATGACAGGCTGCTCTTCTTTCCTCACATTTGTTCACCGAAACGTGTTTGCCAAATGAAGTCAAACCATACAGGTGACATGTAAGTAATATGTCTACAAAGCATATAACTTCATATTATCCATCTACGTTTGGCACATAATTCTCACTTTGATGCTGTTTTTTTTTTTTGTGATATTTGACAGAATCATCTTGCGCAATCTACACTTTTCGGAATTGTTTATAATATTAAAAATCAGTCCGTGTTTGTGTTTTTCATGCCTTTGCAGACACGGTGCGAAACTGCAGTCATGAATGCCACAACGGCCGAGTTCCAGTCGTTGCCGTTTCAGACTTCAGTCAAAGCTGCGCTGTCTATGTTGCCGTGTTTCTTCTTCCTGTATGTAAATGCCATCATGATGTTTGCCCTGTTGAAGAAGCCTCTGTTACTAGAGTCCTCCCGGTACATCCTGTTTGGTCATTTGCTCATGTGTGACTCTGTGCAGCTGCTGCTGACTATGCTGCTTTACATCTTTGCCGTGATGATGGTCAGAATGATCAACTATGTTTGTGTTTTTGTCTCACTGCTTGCGGCCGTCACTGTTAAAATGTCTCCTCTCAACCTTGCCGTGATGTCTTTAGAGAGATATGTTGCAGTTTGTTTTCCGCTGAGGCACCCCAGCTTTGCCACGCCGAGGTCGACGGGTAAAGCCATTGCCGTTATGTGGATAGTGGCGTCCTTAGACTCATTCATACAACTTTTCCTGTTTGTCAGGATGGAGAAGACGATCTTCCCTATGCAGTCGTTCTGCATCAGAAACAGTGTTTTTCGCCTAGAAGTTTATGTGACTTTAAACATGGCCTTCACCATTCTCTATTTTGTGTTTGTGAGTATGATTATTATCTATACATACACTGCAATCATGATCACTGTGAAGTCAGCCTCATCTAGAGGGCGTCATACCAATAAGGCACCCAAGACAGTGCTGCTACATCTGCTTCAGCTGTGGCTGTATCTCACCTCCACCCTGTTCAATATGATAAACCCCAGCATGATGTTGAAAGTGCCTCCTGATATGGCTATTCATGCTCAGTACGTCCTCTTTGTGGGTCTCATCATTTTCCCAAAGTGCTTGAGCCCACTCATATACAGCCTCAGAGATCAAACTCTCTGCCGTGTCTTCAAATACTATTTTACATTTGGCTTTAGAGCCAGTGTTAAACCATCACCTTTGTCCTGATTTCAGCGCTAACTGTGTTCTAACTGTGTGGTTTAGGGGTTACAGCCTATGATATGTTTTTATAAAAATTTGATCTAGCCAGAGACAAAGATGGTTTTTTTTGTTTATGTTACAGAATTACAGATATTGAAAGTTCAACATAGTTTTGAATATTTATCCTTGTATATGAACTTAAGCTCTGCAGGGTAGATTGTATTTATTCATTACAATATCTGTCTTCTACTAGCTTTATTGTCTAATCTCCTGTTATAATAAAGAACAAAAAAATATGTTAAAATTACATCTGATTCTGGTGTAGTTGCTGCATGGACACACTCTAAATGTGGCTGATTTCACAAGAATCACAAGGTTTTAGAAATGTTATCCAGTGAGAGTTATTTTTGCGTATTTATGTTACAGAATTGGAGATACTGAATATTTTTATGCACATTTGAAGTGCCACTTAGTTTTGAGTATTTATCCATAACAGAATTTGAGGACATATCTGTACTCATATCCTTTCTAAGATCAGTTCTTTTTATTGCACTATTAAAGTTCTGCAGGGTCGGCTTTGCTTAGTCATTTCAAAGACATGAAGTGCAGCAGCCTTTCAGTCTCTTTTTTATCGTTATATGTTGCTTATCAGGTAATTTGATTATCAATTTTAGGGATGACTTTTATTATTTAATAGTAATAATGACAAATGTGCAAAAAAAAGAGACTTATTTGTAAGTTAATTTATACTTATGGGTTGGGGGTGAGTAAAACTAAAGCAAAGTTATGGTACAAACATGTTGATTCAAACAGTGCAATTAACTATCTCTATATTACATGTCATGAAATATAAAATCTATACAAGAAATAATAATATCATTTACTTTTTGACTGTGTTGCTCATGTGTGATTATGCATTAACATGTGTCATAAAGGGAAAAACAAACAAAAAAAAAGAAAAAGAGATGTTCATACTTTTATTCAAGTCTTTCTTTCCCTTAATTATGAAAAACAAAAGCATTTCAAACTCATCTGCGTACGTCATCTTATCCTTTGTGGAAATACTTTGCATTCAAGGTCGGGCAAGAATAACTGCTGGTGTAAAAAGAAGGAAAGTGTTTGTCTGTGGAATCGCTTTACTTATATAAGAAAATATTAAATACTAAAAGAGATACATAGACTTTTTTTTCAATTTGATTTTTTTTTTTAAAATGATGTAACCTCATAATAGATCTCTCTGCCTTTTGATTTTTTTTCACACAAACAGACAAACTGATTTTAAGATTTAAAGATGATAATAATAATATTTCAAGTCTACAATTGTTAGTGGCTTTTTTATCAAGTCTTTACCTTTTGCTGGGGGTGTGTTAGTTAAACCGGAAAGATGAAACGCATGTTATTTAACCTTGAATAAAACATTATAGAGTCACTATAAAGTAACTATTTAATAATATAATTATCTGTAACATATTTCATGATGATCAGGTTCAATTTCATTAAATCTACAATAGAAAAAACTGCAGTAAAAGTAAGTCTAAATCTGCATGTAAAAAGTTCATTGTTTTAGCCAGCAGATGTCACCTTTGCTTTGTAAGTGGTTGCAGAAGCTGTGGCTCCAGCTGCAGCCCTTTCATTTCAGTCTGTGTGGTATGTAAGCAGCCGGATCATGAACTCTTCTATGATTTAGTCTAACTTATTCCATCAGTACGGCATTTAGAATATCTGATCTGACTGATAAAATTCCTTTTCCCTCTTTCTCACAATGCACACAGACACTTGTGTAGGAGAAAGAGCTTAGACAGAGCGCAGGGAGAGGGAACAATTTATGTGGGTAAACAGGGAGGTAAGTACTGACCCACAGAATAAAAGAAGCATCTGAGCAGGAGGTGGACTAATTTAACCGATCTTTACTCCGCTGCAAACTTGAAGCCCTCTCAATACCTCTCTGGCCTTCATGAAAGAGCACTTGAACGGCTGAAAAACATTCCAGAGCGAGAAAGTACCTGGTGACAGAGAGCGGCTTCAGTTTAGAGAGAGAGCGGGAGGGAAAGGTTCTTATCATGAGCATGAAACCATTCACAGGCTAACCCAAGAAAGTGGATTCTGTGGGCTTTTTTATTTTTATTATTAATGGCAGCTTTCTTTGGAGTTCCAATATTACTTTTGATGATACAAGTTATGGATCTCCCTTTCTGCTGTTCACAGGAAGCGCATCCAGAGGAGAGCTAAAGATAAAGAAGAGATGGCACAGACAGACAGAAAGCTTATCTTTGTGTTTGTTAATTAAAGATAAGACGTGGGAGAAAAACCATTGCTTTGCTGTTGCTCACACATATGGGGGACTGATTTTTTGTTTGCATATTACAGTGCAAAGCAGAATTCCTTCTCCTAAATCCCTGTGCTTGCCACATATTTATTTGTGTATCCTGATTTGACAAATTGTAGAAGCATTTGTAAGCAATTAGGATAAAATGGAAATTCAGTTGTCTTAATAAACCGCTGATGAAAGAAAATGAAATGAATGAAACACACAGAGCATATAATTTACAAAGAAAAATAAAAAAGGTATACCATTGTCGAATATTATAATGGATGGAAAGGTTTACCGCTTCTTGTGAAGGGTTGTGGAAAAGTCAGGGGGGACTTTCTAATGTACAAGTGATGCTATAGAAGAAGAGTCAAAATCGAATTACAGAGTCTTTTAGCACACTCTTCACTCTCCCTCATCTCAGTTTCTCAGAACACATGACAACATATAGCTTTCAAGTTGATGCACTGCACTCAAGGCAATATTTTCTGAATGAATTTAGAAACAATGGGAATATTCAATGCATTTTTACTCACTTCAGTAGAGAGCCAAAGAGACGTGCTATAATGCTCGCGTGCACACGGACGTGCGCAGCCGTTCGCACTATAGAGCTGCAGATGAATGTCATGGTGGGGGAGTAATTGTATCCCCTGTGACTCGAATTAAAGCACTGACCTGGTTAGCTTTCTGTCAGCAAGAAGGGGTGGGGGTGCTGCCCCCACAATTCCCACCCACATTAACTCTTCAAAGATTAACTTGTTGACTGACTGAACCATGAGGAGCACCCTGAGCCACAGAATCATGGAAGTGACACACCCAGGGATAGCCTTGGGAAGAGAAAATGTTAACAAATAGCCATCTTCTTCTCATCTGCTGATAAAAACAGAACACGCATTGGGAGATGAGTTGTTTCTTTCATTTTAGCAATGCAGTGATAGTAAGGCAGATTTGGAAGGGCTTCACTACAAACTCCTGAACGCCACAGATACATTGCCCGGTGGCATGCCAAATCATGCCAGTTTCATGAATTTCATTTCTTTACGTGGGGGCCACGAGCAGGTTAAACAGCCTTGACCTTTGTTTTTACTGCAGACCTTTTGATTTGTCATTGCAGAAAAAATAGAGGTGGAAGTAATAACATTATCAATGATTCAGTTAGATGTAAGTGTCCCAGAAGGGCCATAATGACTTGCTCATGCAATGTGCCATGGAAAACCCACGCTAAATGTAACTGGGGCATTATTAATGCTATTAATTACACCTGTGCCGCCCAATAACCAGTGAATTACAAGCATGAATGCCTTTGCCACCAGCACCTTTTACATAACAGTTCAAAAGGAAAACAGAGGACTGCTCAGAGTTATCGGGGTTGATGTTTTTTGGATAATATCTTTAATTTTCTTTAACAACAACAACAACAAAAAAAGCTGGGCAGCATGCTAGTGCAGCGGTTAGCACCACAAGAAGGTCAAATTCAGCCTGGGACCTTTCTCTAAGGAGTTTGTGTGTTTCCCCTGTGCATCTGTGGGTTCTCTCTGAGCACTCAGGGTTCCTCCCACAGTTCAAAGACATGCATGGGGTTAGGTTAACTGGTGATTCTAAATTGACTGTAAGCACAAGCAATGACAGACATGAAAAAGCAAACTCCTCTAAAATAAAACATGGAAAAATAAAACATGGGGAAAAAAAAGAACACCGGTTCAAATACTGCATGGTTGAGATAAAGTCCAAGTTATTTACAAAGTCGAGAATGTTCCCAAACCTTTTTAAATATTTTTGTTTGGTTAATTTTATTCTGTTGTTTTGGTTCTAACAAAGCAAAGCTCTTATCTTTTTAGCACTCAGTAAACTGACAATGATTTGTTTTTGTTCATTTCTATTATGATTATTTCCTTTTGGAAACAAACCAAGTAAAAACAAATTAGCTGGATCTGAAATACTCTTCTCACATCACCTACTGTTTTCTAAAATATTTTAATGTCTCTCTACACTTCCAAACACAGTGAAACAGCATTACAGTGAATTGTATGTCTGGCATGTTTTTATCATATGATTTGACCTGGGAGGAGTTACATATGTTTAAAGGAGCCAGTAACAGTTTGTAAATCAGAGGTGTATATTCACCATGCCAGTCTGAACTCCATGAATGCTGATTTCCAATCCTATGCTGAGATTTAAGTTTCCACATATTTGTCTGACATTTTGTGAACTCCCTGATGAACAGGATGTCAGCACTGTGATATGATGCCCTTTTTAAAAAGTACTCCATCATCATTATTACGACAAATATATTTAGGGGGAGGTCTAATACATGAATTATGATGTTTTAATCACATTTTCAACCGAATTTTTTCAGAGAAAAAACAGATGGGAGGAGGAAGCTGCCTTGTGAAAGTATTGTCAATCATATCAAATAATACTAATAAGAATTTTTAAAGGGTTGAATGGTATGAAATGTAATCCAATTTTGATAGGATTGGTTGAATGTGTTGCTCAAATTCAAAATGGTGGTGAATGTCTGGAGTCAATGGTTAGACCACATATGTCAAATAAAAAATGCTTTTTCTACATTTCGATGTTAAAGAATTAGAGTAGAAGACGTTGCATGTAAAATAAGTTTAATTACTAAAAGGCCAAGCCTTCCACCAATTTATTTTTTAACTAAAATATGATATCATTTAATTGTAAATCCTGGTGCCTATTGAGAAACAAAGAAAGTAGACCGAATTCATATTTTTGGCAGCCGTAAAGGATGTGGATTTATTTATTTATTTATTTATTCTGTGAGAAGACACATAAGGGGGGGAAGTGATTTGATGAATCAATATAATATGTCGGGTTATCAACAGAGATGACGTAATGTGTATACTAATGGAGTATTCCTTTAGGGGGAGGTTGCTGTCGAACCTCGACAAATTACCATTTACATCAATTGTCAGGTGAGCCCCCAGTCTCCCCGCTCCACGATCATAGATGGTACAGTCCGCATGCAGTTCGGAGTTGTTGCTGAGGAGGTTCCACTGTTCCGCACATACTGTTAGATTGGCATGCATCCTACGCTTTGGTCCTGTGGTAGAAGGCTCCACGGCTTTTGAAAATGTTACCGTCTTCTCAAAGGAGTTACTTCAGACAGCAGAGGAAGGTTGCATTATTCCTCCTTTTGTTCAGTATTACAGGTGAGTGCTGATTTTGTGTGTGTGGTGTTTTTTGGGGGGTCCTACCAACGTTACAGAGAAGTTTTGTGAGGAGCCTGCGTGAGTGTCTCGCGCATCACGGATAAATTTCAGTCGGCAAAACTAGCTGCCGCCGCGTGCTTATTTGAAGCCGCAAGTCTAGCAAGTTTAGCCGGTGGCATTTAAAGCCTCAAACTTGGTTACAAGTTCACTCCGACGCCTCGGGAGTAGTAGCTAGCCAGCGCCACCACAGCGGATGCTGGTGCGAACCCGGGCTGCCATAGAAACAGTCCGGAGAAACCGCCGAGGAGCGCGAGCGGTGATAGTCAGTCAGATATACCGTCCGCTACACAGCCTACACTTAGGTCACTGCAGACTCAGTGGCAGCCATATTAGCTCCCGAAACAGTTTCTGTTAAAGTAACATGATGCAGTGAAGTATGTCACGCCAGCTGCTCGTGCAGAAATGTTGAGGAACTTCAAGTCGTGTCACCAGAGAGGACAATGCTAGCGCAGCACTCCCCCCGCCCCCCTCATCATCAGGTCGGGATGAGGGTCAGCCACCATGTGCCTGCAGAGGAGCCTGAGCTCATTATGGTTTAATCAGGGAGTGGGGAGTTTCCTGACTCCACCCTGAAGCACGCCAACTTTGTGCTAAGTGTTGACTCAAAAGCACGAATATGACAGTGTAGCTCTAACCCTGCCTCTAAACTGCTTTAATCAAGTATGATGCTAAAACTATCTGAAAAAAATATACTTTTTTTTTCCCAGTTGAACATCTATAATTAAATCTTTGTCATGCCCAAGAATAATGATGAGCTGCAGCCAGGTATCCCGAGCTAGAGTGAATCAGAGCAAGCACTTTACTTCACTCAGCAATCTTTCCATATCTAAAGGGCCATGAGACTGACTAAACGCATCAACAAAGTAGATGTATACACTGCTTAGAGGGGGGAACAAAAAAGCAGGTACACATGCCACTGTAGGCTACCTGTGTGGACACACCAGCACCATATCCCTGTTTTGATAGCAGAGGGACTCTCTTGTAGTTTTGCAAGCAGACCAAAGAAAGCTCTGGTCTCCTACACTACACCAAAACACAGTGAAGCTCCATAACTCTCTAAAGACCTGACATGAGTTTACTGACTCACTCTAAGACTGCGGTACATTTCAATGAGAAGGTTGACCTTGTCTTTGTTGAATGCAAAATAGATGCATATACATTTATGGCTAATAATGTTTAGGCCTTAAAGGGAAATAAACATAAAATATGATGAATAAAAATAAAAAGTAACCAGACCTATCATAGATGTCATAACAACATGTGGAGCAGAAGTGTTAAGTACAAGTTCAGCAACAGGTCTGGTGCTATGTGTTTGAAAAAATACACCAAGAGTCATGTATGGAAATCAGGCTTTCTCTTGTAGTTTTGTAGAAAAATAATGTTTTTGTGACTGGAATATGGATTGGGCATACACTGATTTCAGTAAAACAGACTCTTTGCCTTTACTGTGGGCTAGTCACACCTCTGAAGGCACATTCCGAGGTAGGACCCCACAATCAAGATAATTTGTGCTTGAGCTTCAGATAATCGGGTTCAACAGCCAAAATCATCATGCCAACTATTCTGCAAAGCTTCCAGAACAAACAGGAGGCCTCAAACTTAGCTTAGCACCTCAGAGAGAGGCATGTGGGCATATCACAGAGTGGTCACATAAATTTTAAACTTGTAACAATGTGCTGTCATCAACATGTTGTGATTCTGAAACAGTTACTTTTATTGTGTGGGAACTGCGGCTGTAGCCATCAGTTGCAGCAATGCTCTGCACAGTTTTCACCATGACTAATGATGTGTCCCATTTGACTTGGATATCAGAGATGGGAGTGACACCACTCCAGAGTTGAACATGTTCCTGTAGTAAAAAGCAAGGGAAAACGGCAACATAGAGCCATTCATGCATCACTAGCCATACCCAGTGGGTTGATGCCATAAGGCAAATGCAGAAACCCGGGTTCAAAGTCAACCTTGAGATTATGTACTGCCCATCTTCTGCTGGGTGTTTCTTTCCTGCCTTCTCTTCACTGGCCTATCACAATAAAGGCTCAAAGCACAAAAACTGTATATCAAAAATAAAATTCTAACTGGAAATTCAGAAATTTTGACTTCAAATGGCACACACAATAGGTTTATCTGTGCTTTGTTTATTTATCTTTTATTTATTTTTTTTAGGGTGAGCAAAGTGCTTCTCATAATTATTAGGCAACTGCCATTATTATGTGTATGTGTTTGAATATGGTGTTTATGGCAGCATTTTCAAGTTTAATATTCAAGGTTTCAGTTTAATATGAAACATTCAATATTCATTCATTGTTTTATTTTCAATTGTGGTGTTGGATTTGTACAGGCAACATAAAAATGTAACTTTACAAGACATTCTCCAAACGTTCTCCTGGAGTTAAAAGAAAAACACTGCAACATGCACACAAAGATTAGCTCAGTGTTGAACTTGAATAGCTCCTGCTGATTCACCACTGATGGACAGCCATTTTAAGACGGAGTCATTTGAAGTAAGAAGTTGATGTGACTATGGGTTAAGATCAGCTTATTAAACAGGTGTTTAATGCACTCATGTCCCTCTCTACAAAACTGGATTTCCATCTTCAGTTCTATAACCATCACCTATTATATTGTGATTTCCACTTTTAACAAGACATGGTGTCCTGTACCAAGATATTGCTGCCACACATGTAATGCCCAATAAAGTGAGAATGAGTAGCAGAATGTCCCACGGGAGCAGTGTGTCCTTGATGCCAGGATATCTATAATCTGTTTTCTGCTCTGTGTCAATGAGAGACTGTGTTGAATTTGCAAAGCAAACTGAAAGTGTCTGAAGATTCTGCTCTTTCTGAGGATTTAAGGATTGCAAGATCAAAAAAAAAACACTTTCTTTTGGCTGTCTGAGAGCATCAAAAGGAGAGGGAAGGAATCGCTATTATGTGAAGATAGACTTCACATAAGATTTGATAGACTTTCTCTTCACTTTTTTTTTTCTTTTTTTACTCCGAGTTGGAGAAAACGAGGGCACGCTTATGTAAGGTTGTCGTCATGTCACGAATAAAAATTTAATGCAGTCGCTATACCTCTCCATTACACATTCAGTGCAGGAAAAGTGCTGCTTTCTTCCTTCACTATGCCTTCACTCATGCAATTTAGTCAAGTCATTCAAAAGCTTGTACAACGAGCTTTCTTTTAACTCCAGGAAAAGGTTTGTTTACAGTGTGCTGTACTGTAGTTACAGTCTGGCATTTCACACAATGTATTAATCAATATTGATATTTATTTCTAAACCTTGTTGTGGTGACATGCATCTCGTGTCAAATTAAATGGCTTTCCCTTGTTTCGAAGATGCTCTGTTTGGGGGAACTTTCTAATTAATTTGAGCATCTGAACGAATAGCAAACATTTGCTGTGGGGTATTCTTTTATGTTCTGAACAGCTTTTCCTCCCTTGAGGAAGTTGTTAACTGTGTGTTAGGCGAAATAGGGCATACGCCTGTTTTAGAGTAGCTCGACTGCTGATGGTTGGTTTGCAGTCATCCTTATCCATCTTGTATTTGTAATTTTTTCTTATTTGCATAAACATGTGGTGCCTTCCATTTGTGAATAAGCTCAGTATGCTTGTAGAAAGGAATAGACATAGCTTACAGTCACGCTTTTAATAAATCATTTTACTCTCTCCAGAGTAGTGTAGCATTGTTTGACAGAAAACTGGCTTCAGATGGCAGCAAACCTCCATGTAATGAGCTTAATGGTAATGATTAAATCATAGTAATATTTGAAAGCAATATGAAAATGTTGTTAGTTTCTTAATACGAGTAGATAAATAATTCACAAATGTTTGAGCTTCGATGAGATAATGTCATTTTGTATCCGTCAGCCATAAAAGGCTGATGGGGTATTGTCGTCACCCAAGTTTGTGAATGCAATAACTCGAACGTGGCGACGTAGAATTTTCAAATTGATGCCATAGGTCTTTCTAATAAAAATCTCAGATGAGTTTAAACCTCAGTGACATCGATCTCAAGGTTAACGGTCAAGATTTCTGAAATTCTTGTGAATACATTAACTCAAGAACAAAGTCATGTAGGATTTTCAAATTGATACAGTAAGTGCATCTATTAAAGATCTTGGACAATTTTAAATCTCAGTGAAATCTTGTGGATGTGATAACTTGAGAAAAACGTAGGACTTTGAGACTGATAACATAGGAGACTGAGGGGTAGCGCTGGCAGTCACCAGTATTTTTCCATTATATTTATCCTGAGTATTGATGCACCAGTTCCAGCAGGTTTTCTTGGTCTATTACATACACAGACACACACACACACACACCATGCTGCCCTCTCACTGACTCTTGGTGCGATTCTTTTCAAGTGACTTGTTCCATTCTCTCCAGTCAACTAGCAGTATGTTAAACAGATGGCAAACAGAGTCGCTCCAAATGGTTTTGATTGATAAATAAAACAGAAGGAGCGCTGTTTGGAAAATTTTGGACTTTGAGGGAAATAAACACAGGGAGACAAACGAGCCGTTACACAAATGTTGCTACAGAGCAGTGCTCGCCAGAAGGTTTCAGAACCCATTATTTTAGCGCCTGAAGAACCAACACGTGGACCTGATTGCAACCGAGGGTCAGTGACATAGGCCCTAAATTATATCAGGATATTTCTGATGACAAGGAAAAGTGTAAGCAAATTCATTTTCCATTTTGTTTCCAAAGCGAAACTCATTGATGACACACTTCCTAGTTTAAAGTGTTCATAGCATATTAAAGTTCTTAAATTGCCTGTCAGTTCCCCTACTTTACATGTCATCCTGTTTCTCGAATATAGCTACATATCTATGTTTTCAGCCAAAAGTGCAAACAAAGAAACGCTAAAGGCACAACAATCTATACTGCAGTTTGTAAGGTAGATTATTCTATGTCATAATGACAAAGTCACATTATAAGCAACTTAGCTTTGATTACAAGAGTCGTCTGTCATCTGGAAGTCCTAATGATTAACTTGTAATTAAATGAATCTTAAATTTTAGTGAAAACTAGAAAAACTGATAAATAAGTACAGTGTTGTTTTTTTTTTTTTTTTTTTTTTTTTTTTTTTTTTTTTTTTTTTTTTTTTTTTTTCTTTTCTTTTTTAGTTTATTAGAACTCCCCTCATGTCTTTACCCTGTGTCCTCCCCCATGCCTCGTGCCCCTCATGTTTTCTTCCATGTTTTCCCCAGCCCATTATGTCTGAGCTCTCCCCGTGTTCTCTCCTCCCTTCCTGTCTGCACCTCTGTGTACTTCCTGTTTTACTTTGACAGTCTCCCGTCAGTGTGCGTCAGTGTTGTGTTTTATCCTGCCATGTCTCGTTATAATTATCAGTGTCACCTGTGTTCCCCGTGTGCCCCCACTTCCCTCGTTTACCCCCTGTGTACTTATGTCCGAGTCTCCCTCAGTCACCCTAAGTACAGTGTTGTTACACAACTCAAAGGGCTCCAGTGACGGTAACATTAGAAAACAGATATTTGCTTCTCATATTGTAGGGGTAGGAAAAATTCCTTGGGCTGTGCCAGTATTTGCGGACATGGTCTTTTTGAGGGAGATTGGTCAGAGACGGAGCTATTTTTTGGCAAAACAACAATAGAATATTTGAAGTCTGTTGCCAAGCAGCGCAGCAGGTTTTGATTTATGATGATGTCTTCCTGCTGGCAGCTTGTTGCAATTAGCGTAGTTGAAGGCATTGGCAGTCCTGCAGTGTTGTGTTTATTTATTTTTTATTTTTAAACCAGTAATTCCTCTTTTTTGTACAGGAATCCTGATGGTGCATTTCCTTCCCCTGTGTTTTATATGACTTCTCTCTTGCTTTTCCTCACGCTCAGCTTTCTCTTCTCTCATCGATGATGTCATCATGTTAGCATATCTCTTCCCTTCACCGTTTCCTTTTTTTTTTCCTTTCCATTTCCTCCTCCTCTCCCTGCCCGGTCGCAGTCTGTTGTCTTCATATTTCTTTGACCTTCCACAACACTGAGCTCCTGCTTTCAAGACATGCCACATTTCTGACAAGCGCAGGTGACAGAGTGCATGGGTTAGTTATATTTGGACAAAACGCATACAGGCAGCCTGCTTTGAAGTCCTGAATTCAGGTCAGGAGGAGGAACACTGTGGAGACAAAACAAACTCATCAATGGGAACACTGAATCACACAGTAAACTGTATTATTTGTTGAAGATCCGAGTGTCTGCTGTGGTAGGATCAAGTTTGGATTCTAGTCTGATACCCACAGATGTCAGATAGTTCTGTATAGATATTAAATTGATTTTTTTTTTTTAACTAGTAAAGCCAGAAGTAACACCAGAAATACCCTCTTCTCAATGGAGGTATGATAGTATTTTTGAATTCCCACATAGTTTGAGCACAATGGCTCTGGATTCTGTACTCATTTGTTTTTCCGTCTTTAGTTGCTTGAAGTTTCGCCAGTTAAGAATTCAAAAACAACACAAAAATAGTTATTAATAGCTAGTACCATTGGGTTCATCAAATAGCTGCACCTCTGACTGGCCAAAAAGGTTGGACTCCCAGGACACTTCAGCAGGTGTCCTTAAACCCTTGTTTACAAATTAACAAGGTGATTTGTATATCAGTGTTATTTTGTGTGTCTCTTTGGCAGGTGTGTGGTGCAGCCAGGTGGTGGTGCCTAAAAGAGTGAGTGCCGTGCTGGGGAAGAATGTGACATTAGAATGCAGGGTGGAGGTTGGCACAAACCTTACTCTTACTCAGAGTTCCTGGGAGCGCCGTCTGCCTTCAGGCTCTGTCACAGTGGCTGTGTACAACCCGGAGTTTGGCACCTCCATCCCTCCAGAATTCATCCATCGTTTGTATTTCCGCTCACCCTCCTCCCATGATGCCACCATCGTACTGGAAAACGTGGGCTTTGCTGATGTCGGGATCTATACCTGTAAGGTAGCCACATTTCCTCTGGGAAATACTCAAGCATCCACCACAGTCAGTGTACTTGGTAAGTGTGTGTCTTCATTTGATATACTTTTCTTGAGAAAACACTGGCTTTCCTTTAGGCGGTTTTTGGTAGAGATAAAATAATTAGATCAATTATTCAGTTTTTATGTTTCTGTCCAAATCTTTTTGGGAGGAAAGTTTGTTTTTTGATCTTTAATATTTATGCTCTTTTGTGTTCAAATGTTCAATGTAGGTAATGTGTCCTCCCTCGTGCGTGAACAAATGCTGTACTCTACAAAATGTGCAATCATGCATTGAATACACTGAAAAGGTCCAGAAAAAGACAGAAAAAACGAATTTAGTCAGCATCTACTCCTGATGCTTGCACAGAAAGCTTTTATGTGCAGGTTAAATCTTGTGTTTCTAGTTTTGTGTTGCATTTATAAAACAAATTGTCATGTCTTGTGATATTATTTAACAGAATAGTACTTTATGTATGTTTGCTGTTGCCATTATTATAGTGAAGTGAATAGAAGCCAACAAACGTAAAACAGAAATCCACAGGATCATCATAGATCGTCCTCCAATATATCACACATTGCAGAATTGCGGTCTTTTGAGAGTCATTTAATTAGTTACTCTGCGTTCTCAATGCCTAGAGTGTTCTTTGTTTTCACAGAACAGATCACAGGTCTAGCTGCTAACATTAACTTGGACAAAAAGGAATAAAATGCAATTAATTAAGCAGGAAAAATATCAGTGTACTGTAAACATTTGAAACTCAGTAAAGCAACCTCAAAGTCTTTACTGTTGTCTCTGTTGATTCTGTTTTCACTCTTGTTAATAACAGTGGAGCCGAAGGTTTACGTGTCTGCTGGTTCAACTGCACTGATTGATGGTGGCAATGAAACTGTGGTCGCTACTTGCATCGCTGAGCGAGCCAGACCACCTGCTGAAGTGTCCTGGGAGTCCAACCTTTTTGGCCAGTCAGAGGTGCAGCTATTTGATGAACCCAATGGTACTACCAACACACAAGTGCGTTACATCTGGCAGCCTACACGTCATGTTCAGGGCAACACACTCACTTGCGTGGTCCGCCACCCAGCTCTGCAGAATGACTTCAGGATCCCCTACCAGCTCAATGTGCAGTGTAAGTGCCTTGTGAGTGATTGGTGTGGGCTAACAAATTAAAAACTGAAAGAATAATAAATATGTGAAGAATGTGTTTAATAATTCTGTTCCTGCCAGAGTTAGTAAGTTAGTAAGAGAAGATTTTGTGCTGTAAGATCGCGATAATCATTAAACCAGTTACCCATTGCACTTGTGGTGTCACAGCTTCACTAAATTTTAAAAAAAAAAAACACAAACTCCAAAAAGCTGATTATGTTTTAATATTCGTTGTCTAGAAAGTGTTCTCTTCCAGTCAAATCCCATAGATGCCACAGTAAATGTACAGCTATTTCGCTACGTAACATGTGCTACCAACTTAGGAAAAGAGTAAAGTGACCACCTCCAAAGTCTTTGTTTGACAGATACTTTTTTTTTTCTTTGCTCTGATTTACTGCTTTGTGACATATGGTAACTATAAAGGATTTTCTGCTCATTCACTGAATGCAACAGTGGAAAAAATGTGGCAACAATTTTTGCATGTAACAAAATCTTTTACTTTGTAATAGTATATTTGTGTGAAACAAATGCATACCAGCAGAAGAGCCAGGGTGGTGCAGATGACTTCTCAGAAACCTTGTGAGCACCTTAATGAATATATTTGTGCAATGTCAACACAATATTTCAGTTACATTATTTTCATAATGAATGTGCAAATGAAAACGGTAAACCGGTAAAAATGGGGGGGGACACTGTTTCATGGTTGCAGTTGTGTAGTGTTGATGGTTCTTTTAGGATTGTGAAAAACGTTGCAATATACAAGCACTCATGAATGTTTGCTTCTCTCTGCAGATTATGTTTATAGATTATCTAGCATCTTAGTGCATATTTGCAAGCTTATGTCTTTAGCCCATTACTGACCTCAGACTCTCTATAATGCTTCAGACAAACCAGGAAAATGGTTGTACTTGGAGCACTGTTCTCTAAGGCCATTTACTGTGTCTGGCCATTTTGTGGTCATGTCGCATAATTGCTTTTCTCTCTCTTCAGTTGCTCCTGATATCTCCGTCGTTGGGTATGATGGAGACTGGTACGTAGGCCGGGAAAATGTTCAAATGACGTGCAAAGCCAACGCTAACCCGCCAGCTCATCACTTCAGATGGATCAGGTATGAGTATCCGTATGTCTGTGTGTAACGTTTACGGTTTGTCTGGGATTGAAATTGACCCAGCGGGCCAATTGCTGATCGAGCTAGGTTGTATTATACTCTGATATTTTAGTAAGAGAGCTTTACATTTGATATAAAATAAACAGTAAAATGAAGGTTTTCACATCCTTGAAATAATTTTCAAATGATAATTTATTATGCTTTCCTCATGAAATGTCCCAATCAATTGTGTGTCCCTCCTGCGTGTCTTAAGGTTTCTGTCTCTTGTGTGTCACAGGTTGGACAGAGAGATGCCTGAAGGGGTGGAAATGATAAACAGCACTTTGCTTTTCCTGCGTCCCCTCCAGCGGAATGACTCTGGCGTTTACAGGTGTGAGGTTGCCAATGACATCAACCTCCGCAGTCGGGATGTGCGTATTCTCATACAAGGTGAGCAGAGTATACACACCGGAACAAAGCTGACTCCTAGTGCCTTCTCTTCCCTTAGGAAGCATTGTGCATGTTTGCACGTCATAGAGGGTATCGGTGCCTGTGTCGTTGTCCTTCAAACTGAAATGTGACACTATCACTCTCGCTCGTTCTGTACATACTGACAGTTTATCAAGTAATCACCCATGGTACACTGTGTTCATACTGATATTAATACATTTGGTCTTAATTGCATGCTTATTAGGCTTGATTAACATTACGCCTCCAGATGTTCAAAAGAGAGTTCCTGGGCCAAACAGCTGCAAATAATTTTGGCCTCTTCAGACCACAGTGCGCTGCCTCTGCTCTGTCCTGCTGGCTTGGCATCTGAGTGCGTCGTGTCTCTCTGTTGTGAATGATGAGCATGTTCCTTTGGTTTCACAAAATCTGTCTTGCCAGTGGAAGCTCTCTTTCTGAATGAAGTTCTGATTATGATGTGATTTCCTTTTTCATCACTCTCTCGCCTCCTTTCTGTGTTTCTTTTATTCCTGCATGTGTCATGCAGTGAGAGGCAAAAGCCTGCAGCCTCACTGTGAGATGATGTCCCAGATTCATAAAACATTAACTAGTTCTTTTCAACTCCTATTTATTATTTATCATTCATATTTCATTTTCCTTTGAGAGACCTGTACGGGTGTTCACAAGCTTATGCATGTTGGTGTACCCTCCATTGTGCATGCGTGCGTGCGTGTGTGTGTGTGTCGTGTTGTGGGTGTACTCATCAGTTCACTCTTCATGGAGTTGTACATTTCACATACTTGGAGACCACAGACCTCCGGGTTCATGTGTTTGCTCTTTCAGATGTGAATCTTTGCCTCACATCTGGCCTGGCACCAGGGTTAAAGTGGCAGAGCAATTTTGCAGCACCATTAAAGCTTTTAGACTCAGATTTTTTCCATTACTCTAGCTTCTTATAATTATAGCCTTTGGCTTGTCTGTTTGTGGATAAAAACCACTAATCCATTACATTTTAAGGTTGGTGTTCTATTCGTGGAATAGTGAAAGTTTATACTTGAAAAGTGGGGTCTTAAATGTATGTTCTTGATCATTTAAAACATATACCCAAAATAATCTGCTTATACCATTGATAACCCCTACAGACTGCAGAATTTTAAGGACATCACTGGTACTGTTTGGTGTTTCTTATCATGTAGTCAAGTCACTTGTTTCTCTCTGCATGTAGAAAATGTGCTGAGCTGCCATCAGCATGTGCAAATACTTTGAAGTTACAAATTGATTGAGGGGACAACAGGGACAAAGCCTGTTGTCATATTTTATTTTATTTTTTAGTTTAAATTAATACAGAAGTAGCTGAAAACATGACCTGATCCTTTTAGACAGTTTCTAAAGACTTTGATTTATGATAGAGATAAATCCATAAAAGTGTTTTCAATGAGTTTTTTAATTTAGCAAAAATACCCAAAGTTGTAGCCTATGAAAAACAAAGTGTTGAACACATGGCATGGCCTGATTTGCCCAAAGTAAAAGAATGCACATTAACTTAAAGATTTTAAGTAACAGTTTGAGCCATGTCAGGTCTGCTATCGCTGTCACCTGCTTTTTTCCTTTTTTGATCACAAGAGAATAGCTGTTATGTTGTGGTGTCTCGTTGAACTTTACAGAGATCTAGTGCTATGATTTTTGGGTACATACAAACTAACTCTTAGGTACAGTAAACTCAATCCCAATAAACTCCATTTCAAGTGGAATGGAGTATGTAAGCACAGCATACTACACCACATAGAAACACAGTGCAGTGTGGTGGTGACATTGCTGGACATCTGTGTGCATTCCTGTTTTTCTGCGGTCAAAGAAACAAAGCAAACTCAATCATGCAGAATTTACTCTACAATGCACTCATTTTTCAAATAAGCATAGTAAGAATGAGTAGTCGGCTGTCCATGTTGGCAGAGAGTATGCTTTTATTGTTAAGAGCATCTGAAAAGACATTACTGAAAATCAGAGTATGCTTAACAATACACATAGTGAGGATATAGTGATTAGGACAGGTTTTTAGATCCAACTTTTCTCATTAATCCATCATCTAATAGGTGAGGCCATTGTTCTCTGTGATACAATTTTATATTTACTTACTAATCTGTAACAGTGGGAATATGCAAACCTGATTCTGCTATAGTTTTAGATGTTTTAGTCAACCTCTTCCTTCTTAGCAAAATGTAGTTGGCATTGACATTCTGCTTCTGTCTTTCACTCTTTATCCCCCCCTCACCCCCCTTCCTTCCATTAGATCCTCCCACCATGCCTTCCACCATTACCACTCCTGTCCTAACTGGCTTCTCCTCCACTTTTGTGGATGATAAAGGCCACGTCCTTCTGAGCTCCCCCACACTTGAAGCCCTTCCCGAAAGTAATCTTGGTTCCATAGTGGGTGGGGCCGTGGGAGGGGCCTTATTCCTCTTGCTGCTGCTGTCTCTGGTTGGTGTGTGTTACCTACGGAAGCAGCAGACCTTTCATGGGAACTACTACACCAAGCAGTACCTGGGCCCAAATGATCTCCAGAAAGCTCCCACTCAGCACGAACTCCATCCTACCAAAGCTGGCAGCAGATCTCAGCATCGGGACCATGATCGAGAGGAGTGGGGCGACCGCCAGCTGAAGCAGGAGCGGGACCGCCGCCACCATAGTGACTATAACGGAGAAGAGTATCCTGTTAATGGGTACACTAGGGCAATGAGGGAGAGCAGGCGCCACAGTCATCAACAGAATCACCATCATGAACACACACAGTATTCTAGTCCACAGCAGGCCAGATGTGTCAGATACCCTCATTCACCCAAACTACAGGGAAACGGCTCCCCCTACATGTCAGACGACTGCTACGATAGCGGGCCCGACGGTGATTATGTATCTCATAAAGATGGCTCAGTCATTTCACGCAGGGAGTGGTATGTTTGACAAGGTACCTAGTTCTGCAGGAACGAAAAAATGCAACATGAGTTGGAAAGTTTTGTTTATCAAATTAGGGGAAAACACATTATTTTCTTCTGTATGCACACATACAGTGTGTTTTGTAGTTAACATGTTTTTTTTTTTGTTTGTTTGTTTTTTTTTCTTTTCAAGCGTCCTGGATGACACTTGAGATGTAATGTATACATTTCTGTTTTGAGTGTGGGCAGCCTGTGGACGGTGCGTGTGCGGACTAACAAAAGAGCCGATGTATGTGTTGTCTCAGCCTTACAACATGGACTGCTACAGCTGATTGAATATAACTAATGTGTTACTGAGCAGAAGCCCCGGTGGCTTTAAGATCACGCACGATTGTCTGAGAGAAGAGTTTTTTTTCACAAACTCTGCCTTTTGTGTTCATGTTGCTTGTACTCATTTGTTTAAATGAACTCTGGCCTCTTAGTGCAATTAGATGATGTCATGTAGTTATTGCAGGTAAATCCATAAAATTCAGATGGTCATTTTTCTTCAGTAAGACACAGCTGAGCCGCCGTACATCAGTTTATTTAAAACAGGATTTGTCTTCCTGAGAAATCTGAATTCCATTTTGACTAATTACCTAAACACACTCTTGGTCATAAGATTTATTGAACTGCTGTTTTTGCAGGATTTTGTAATGGATTGCTGAGTCATCAGACCTTTTTTGTTTTGTACTAAAATCTTAGGTAAATCGCAATGGAAGAACTGAGCTTGAGGAGTTGACCAGTAAGGTTTTGGCACATTTTGTGTAAACCTTGTGAGCGTTTCTCCTGCTTGTCCTCAGCTCGTCTTTTATCCCAGTGATGAGAGAGCAGGCAGGAGGGCTACATGAATGGGGCACAGTCTGCTGTGCCAGCACACTGGGTTTGTCATATCGGTCAAGCCTTGAAGCCTGGAAAAATATTTCTCTAGTTTATCATTTTTATTAGAACTTATGTAAGCTGCTGGTTTTTGGGAAGAGTTTCAGGTTAAACATTCCCTTTAGTTAACCACATTATCATGTTGTCTATCGGATGATAATGGATCTCTTTGAGAAGTTTAAGCCTGGCACTAAACCAGGACTCTTGGAATTTCAAGAGCGCCATCAGCAGGGGCATTGTTTAAAGAGGCTACTGTATGGGAGCCACCGTAAGCTGGCCTCTTAGTATTTTGTAGCACAGAGAAACCATGCAGCCAGTACACACTACCACACTCAACCACGTTGGACTGTTTGTCTACTGTGAGTAATCTATAGAAACAAGACATGACTGTGTCACAGATCTGTGACATGTATTGTTTGGAGTGTGCGGCCGCATGCTCAGATATTCACCATTTCATTTACGATTTAAACATTTGGTACTCAAAAAAAATTTTTTTTTTTAAGTGTTATGTAGTTTTTGTAATGGCTGTGTTGTCACTTTCACCTGTGATTATCAGCACTTTTGACTAAACTCCACAGCACAGGAGTTGGAGACAATATTTTGTTGCCATCATCATTAAATCTTTAACACAGTTATCCTTTGAGTAGCTATTAAATGATAATGACACACCCTATGATTTTTCTTTTCCCCAAAAACATGTTTTATTCATTTAGAACCAGTCACCTTTTATTGCCAATCAGGACTCTCAAAAATCACATGCCATACCAAGAACTGTGATTAAACTGCGGAGAAAGCATTGTACGTGTTAGTGTCATTGGGCTCTGCAGCCCCAGTAGTTCAGGAATCAAACAAAGCTATAATGGATTTAAAGGTAAACTTAGGTTTTTGTAGAAACGTAAAAATTAGAGTATTTTGGCACATGTTCACCAGACTGCATGGAAGAGATCTGACTTTTCTTTCATATACACTAGATGTGAATACTTGCCAACTTTAGTAGTATGGTTACTTATACAGTATTTTCTGCCAGATGCCAAATCTTTGTTTAACTTGTGTATATATATGACGATGACAGTGTCTCACATTCGTATTACCGACTAGATAACAACTGATAATTAGCTTACTTAAATGACTAATGCATCACTGTTGTAAACGGGGGTTTTGTAGCCCGAAATAGGGGGGGGGGAGGAAGATGCTTTAACATTAGAGTAACAGTTGTCAAAATCGAAGCTAGTTAGGTTATAATGAACCTTCACAAATTCTGTCAGGGTGTGAATTTTGTGCAGTGGATCGGCTGCAGTTGTCGTCATGAGATTTGATAATGCGCCACTGTAACTATCAGTCTGAGACTCTGGCCCCTGACTGTGTTTCATGTTGTTTTTGAATGCTGTACAGTAGAAGTAATTTATAGACTGAAGGTGCACATTTCTATGACTTCCTGAAGGTTGAATCATGTTCACACTTCTGAAAACTGAGCATGTTTTCTTTTCGCGTAAGGTTTTAATTTGCACTAATTTCCTTGGTAGAAAGTAGTTGAAATGAAAAAGCATTTATAGAGGGGGGGGGTCTGCACAGCTAGGTTGTAATTGAGAATGTGAGTCTTTGTAAATTGGATGACTCTTTAATGGAGGTGTCACGGAAATGTACAGTTGGTCATTTGTTAGCCCTGTAGCCTCATTTTGACTGAATAATTACATGTATTGGTCCGCTGCTGACACCTATTCAGTCTGCCCTTCTGGTCACTTTCACATAAATGCAGAAACTAACAGGAAGCACGGTAGCCTAAACCCTTGTTGTGTTTGCTCCTATGCACTAAAACGGAAATTCCTCTGATCGATAGACTTTTTTTGCTTGGCTCGTCAGTTTGAAGCCCTGCACTTGGATTAATGAAGTACAGTTTTACTGTGACATTTTGTATAGAGATCAGTCATCAATATCCTTACCTTGAGAAATGCCCTTCACTTTCTGTTGAGAAATACACACCTAGTGCCTTAGATATCTAGCAGAAATGTGTTTATCGTTTACCTGCGTATGTAATGACCTGATGTGTCACCTCTGGGTTTTGATTTTCATTGCATTCTGTATTTTAGGAGGAATTCGTAGTGCCAAATTCACTCTTTCTGCCCTTTTGTGGCAGTGAAACGCAGTATGTTTCCGAACCTAAAGGCATTAAGAAACAAAAAAAAAAAACAAAGCTTGAATACATCTGGATGTAAAATGACTTGCATCCTCTGTACTGTTCTGTCAGGGGTTTTGGTTTCTGTATAGCCACTGGTTTGTTTTTTGTTTTGTTTTTTTTATTCAGAGAAATGTATAATTACCTTCAGTCTCAAATTGTCAATGAAAAGCACCTTGCAGTCATGTTGTTTGGTTTGGTTTTTCAGGGGGGGTTTTCTTTTTTTTTTGTGGGTTGTTTTTTGTATATACAGAAAATGTACATTTCTTGAACGAGGGAAAATATTTATGTCATCAAAAGCAGTCAAACATTATTTTGTCAATCTCTTTGAGATACTTTAGTTCAATAAAGCACCTTAGCACCTGTGAATTCTTTTTCTTTCTTTTATTCTCTGGAGGTTTTTGAGCTTCCTATTACTCAGACTGCTCAGTCTCAGCCTCTTTGTTCATCTATAAATGACATCATCTCTAGCGCCGTAACGCGTAATGCTGCATAACCTCCCCCCCTCCACACACACACACACACACACCTCAAATCCAGTATGCATATGTGGGACACCACAAATGATGTAATTCCCTTTTTTTTTTTTTTTTTTTTTTTTCCTTCCCCTCCTTCACTTCAACTGATCCTCATTACACTTTAATAACAAAGATTTCTTTCGGATGTTACCCTATTACGTTTGCCATCTGGTTAAATACTGATCAGTTGATCTCCAGTGGTATTCCTGTGGTTGGGGGAGACCCAGCACCTCATGTGCTCGAGGTTCCCTCATTAATAGTCCTAGTTTGCTTTGTTTCAGGACAGAAAGGCCCTGCGCTCCCCTGCAGCACCTCTCCTTTGTAAATCCACCACCTTCCCACCCCCATGTCTTTCTCCCACTGTCTACCAGCTGGTAAAATTAAACGCTGAGTGTTTCTGACTGGCCCAAAGTCCCTGCTCTCCAGCCCGTTGACTGTCCCCATGGCAACAAGCTCATCTGGAGCTGCTGATGGAGGCTGTCGTCCTACGAGCTCTACCTGGCCACACAAAGTAGGGGCCTGCGTGGAGCTCAGAGCTGGGCTGTGCTGTTGTGACAGCTCGTGCAGACAGACTGAAAATGGCCCATTACTCCCTGCAGCACTACACAGAGCTCTTCTGGCTTATAAGGACATATACAAGTGTGACTCAGTGTTGCGCTGGCACTCTAGGTCCTCAAGACGTACTTGCCATAAAAGTCTTCATCAGCTGACCTGTCTTGTCTCTTACAGATCTTATCATGGTCACAGCAGTTTCTCATCCTGACCTTGAAACAGGGCAGTGTGAAAACGCATGGGGAAGCAGCTCGGTGGCAGTAATGATGTCACCCCCCAATGCTTGAATTTGTTTGAGACACTCGTGCAGAAGATCAGCGGATTCGCTGCCTGCGACACAACAGTTTCCAAGGATACTTTTCACAAGACACAAAGGAGTGAGCGAACGTCTCAGGCAGCGCAGAGGGATGCAGCTCTGACAACTGTGAGTGAGGGGAGAGACTTTGATATTAACTCCCCAGCAGAGGTGGCATCACATTGTAACTATCACAAAAACTCAAAATACTGAAATGCTGCTCTAACCTCCCCCCCACCCCCATCCCCCCCCCATCGTTATTACACCAGCATCTGCTTCCCAGGGGGGTCTGTTGTCTAGGCAATAGTGTGACCCCTGAGCCTTAAGTATCGGTGGGAAGGGGGGCGGTGTTTGGCCAACTCGCTCTGTCTTACTTCTGTTTTGGCCAGAAAGGGTCCGTCTGAAACTGACCTCACTGATCAGCATGTGCTTCTGCTGGATTCACAGCAGCATTGTTTGTGTGATGAAGTGCTGAAGCGGGAGAGACTCGAGAAGGGACGGTAAAAAGCCGGATCCCAGTGTGGGGCAGTTGATCCACCACTAACACCAGTAATCCGAGGCCCACCACCCCTCCCCAGAATACATGGTATTTAAAACCATGAGGAGAAAATGTCAGGGCGGAACATGCAGGATTGTTTCTGAGTACAATTTGTCTCGATATTTCTTAGCTAGAAGCATGCACGAAACACTACCTCCGTTAATGAACTCCTACAGCTGCTCCATGCGTTGTGGCTTTAAAGCAGCCACCCTGTGCAGGTCCCCTGAAAATGTCTGTCACAAGGCATTAAAGCAGCCGGCTTGATGAACTACATTTTTAAAGGCGTTTTGATCAACTCAAGAGGCTCTTGACATAGTTCAGCAGCCATCAAAGGTAATCGAATGGTTATTAACCGTTAGAGGACGGCAGGAATGGAGGAGGCGGAAGAAGTGACTTTCGGGGGTGAGCTCAGAAATCCCAGCTTGTTCAATATGCATCATAATTGAACTGTTATTTAGATTTCTCATCTCAGCACATTGATTTTTTTTTCATCCCCTCTCAAGAGCTAAATCAAGGGGAATTGACCATTATGTTTATGCCTCCTCTGTCACCTTTTGTCCTTCAGTTCCTTTAGTGTCCTACATTTGGTTTTATACATTACTGCTGATTTGCCAAAGCTTGCTGTTTTGCGAGTTTAATGCATCCTAATCACGATTAATCCTTAATCCCCTCTGTGGACAGCATGGAGCATATGTTCTAACAAAGCTAATTCAACACTTTGATAATACTGTTACACACACACAAGACTGAAGTAAAGCAACGGATGGATTCAGTGTTTTAACCCTGACAGTGAATTTTTAGTGAGTAACAGAGTTTTTAAATGGCATTTTTTATACCTCAGTTAAATTGCAAAAGCCCTTTCATGAATACCAATAATACAGGGCTGTCCAGTACAGACTCGGACACAGTAAAAGGCTACTGGGAGCAAAGTATCAGCACTTTTTTTTCATGGCCAGTAGTGTTTGTTATTTTCTTTTTTCTTTTGAAAAGAGAAACTGTCTTTGTAGCTGCTGGGAAATATACAGATGAGAAAACCATTATTAGTTTCCCTATGAAAACTAAACTAAAAAGTATTTCCCAAGTGTTGCTAAACACCTAATTCCAACATGCCACTAACACGCATGGGTCCTGAGCATTCCCACCCCATTCTTCTTTGGTGAATCTCTCAACCTCCTCCAGATTTGATTGTCTAACGGCATGGACCTTGGTTTTCAGTTCACCCCACAGATTTTCAATTTAAGTCAGGGCTTTGTGCAGGCCAATCAGTACCATTTATTTTGGTCCTCTGGAGGTAGTTCTTCACCAGGAGTGACATGTTTTAGGCCACTGTGTTAGAAGACAAACTAATTAGCCAGATCCAGTTTTGCTGCTGACTGCTTGAGGTTTTATTTTGAAATTGTCACACATCCATGTTTATTTAATCTTTCCACATCTTTCCAAAATCTTTCCACCTTGATGAGATTCCCAATTCCTGGCGCACTGACATGTCCCCCACAGTGTAATACTCCCACCACCGTGTTTAACTGTGGGAACGGCGATCTTTGAGTTGTACCCTTCTCCTCCTCTTATCTCTGTGGCCAAAGGGCTCTATTCATGTTTCAACTGACCAAAGATCATGCTTCCAGTATGCATAATCTTTCTCCAAGTAGTCCTTTAGCATACTTCAGTCTGGACTGAACAATAAAGGGTTAAAACCCTCAGTTTTAACTTGATTTTACAAAGTAAAATCAGATCATTGCACAGCTGTGGTTTGTGCAATGGCTCAATAAAAAGCTCAGTTTTGGGGAGCTTGTTATTGTGTGCAAATCTAAAAGTAGTAAAGGAGTGTGTCACAGATTTATGAAATTTATTTGTTTAACAAGACAAGTTGTAAGAAGTGCAATAATGCATTATGGTGGGCTTAACTGTTCCCATACTAGCCTACTAGCTTAATATTCAGCATGTAGAAATGACAGTGGTACCCATGTTAAAAATTCAAGGATGCTTGTTTCAGTTTGGAAGTGAATAAATAAAGAAATAAGCATATAATGAATACAAATTTGCAAGGCAGAGTTGGGAATCACAAAATTTCAACTTTCCGACTCAGATTTCAGAGTAAGTTGTCACCAACAGCCCAAACCTAACATATCTGAATTACTGAAATGACAAACAGCAAACAGCCATATTTAAAAGGCAGAAAGCATCAAAAGTTGTTATTTCAGTCTTTACTTCAAAGACAACTTCAACCTTCACAACTGTTGAGATGGCTGGTAGTGTTTTAAACAAGAATTTGCTGGGTGGCTAAATAAAGGCTAATCAGGTAGGCTTCTCCAAACATTTTGCATGCGCGTGACTTAGAGCTCAATCAAATATAGTGAA